ATAGGCTTGTTTGACATGTCAAGTACAATTACGATAGGAAAACATGGTAAACGGCAAAGTAACGTAGTAATTGACTCAATCTTACGCATGCCATGACATACAACTGCGCCCGGAACTGCCGATTTGAGACGTACCATTCGTGGCTATGTTCCGGCCAAGAGGTTCAAGCGTTGGGTTGACCAAAACAATAATCTACCCCCTTAGTGGCCAGCCTATTAACTAGTATCTCATTACTGTACTAGGTCTTATCCCATGAAAAGTGGCTCTGTCATGCGAGTGACGGATAGTAGTGCTTGGAATTAAACACCTCTGTGTCCTGGAACGAAGCGGGGCGTCTAAAAGACCCAAGAATAGTGTGCGCAAGTCTGTGCATGAACCGATATTAATCCTCGTGGTCGTGCCATAATAGTGACATTATAGAGAGCGGGGTGTGGCTATTGGGAAACGTCTGGTGCTTTTTGTTCCACAAGCGAAGCGTGGTCTCGCAACGCAAACCTTGGCGAGTAATCATGCCATGCATTTGGAATCATGTCAAAACTTGACGTAACCTGCCTTAACAGGCAAAGATTTGCATAGAAATTCAATTTGACGTGAATTGAATTATGATGCGCTTGTGAAAGATTACTCAAGCAAGACCTTGGTAAAGTCTCGGTGTCCCGTCCTCTGTCAAGTCGGTCGTGAGCGTCTGTTGGTGAAATCTCGCTGCAGCAATAATACGTAAACCGGGACGTGGAGAAAGAGGCATCAGCTGAGACACAAGAGCCAGTCAATTGTGGTATAGAGACTTTAATTCGGTACTGCATATATGGTCTGCACAATAGGCCATCTTATAGCATGTCACCCGGACGCCTCTATCTTACTATTATTTGCACGCCTTGTTGCATCAAGATATATAAACTAGGCGATAGAATTCTTAGTCCAATTTACTCTTACACATCTTCGTTGCCTCAAAGTCACATAAGATACTACTTTTCCGAGTTTGAAGATGCTTGCTTTTTTGGAACCCCGTCCTGTCTCCTCCAGACATATGCCATGGAACATGTGCAAAGCCGCCAATTATATGCTCTTTGCCTTTTTGGCTTCTTCCTGCTCGCTCTCAAAGCGGCGAACGTACCACAAACAAAGCGCATAGGACCCATCTAGCAAGAGGAAAATAGAAACAAACCAAATGTATAGAGGAGAACCCATATACTCATGGTCTTGTCTCCAGTATTGGTATCTTAAAACATCTTGTGGGATAAGGACAAGAGAACCGAAAAACCGACAGAACCTGTACAGTTGACGTGTTGTGAGCAGTCAAGTTTACTTAGTGTGTTTTTGCAGGGCGAGGTTGACCTACCATAGGAAATACGAGGCCCCTCGCGATGAACCACGGCTAAGCAGCTGACAGAGGGCCCCGACACTTAGGAGAAGCTGACATCCATATGCGCTGAAAGCTTGGGCGTGAGATGGCCCAATTTGCAAAGCCAGTGCTAAATGGGCCGTTGTCCATGCCGCTATACAAATGATGAAGATGAAGGGCAAGTTTCGACGAACCAGCGGGGCGTGTGTCCATTCTCTTTCTGCATTCTTGACCGCGGTGTACATGACACCACAGTTTAGCATGAGTCCGAAATAGTGAGTGAACTTGTCCTGCCTACTACCAAAGGGGTAGATGACAGCGTAGGTCAATTCCCAAGCAAAGTTGCAGCATAGTGGCATCAATGCCATTCCGTAGGTTCGATCTTTGAGAGACTTATAAATCATCCCAGCATAGTTGGTAGTCCATCCCAGGCCCATGAGCAGCTTACATGTATCAGCAATCCAAGCTACTTCCAGGTAGCCAGGCGGCGCACGGGATATGTCAGCAACATTCATAGCGTGTATCAATCGGTCCTGACGGATGTTTGAGGGGTAGAGAGAGGGGCAAGAAAAGAACCAAAAAGCAGATTGCAGCAGGGGACGGACGGGTAAACGTTGCAAGGTGGCGATCATATTTAACATGAAGGATCCCTCGATGCTCCAGCTTGCGCCCCGCGGATTCACGTGTAGGGCTGAAATGATACCCTGTTGCAGGATGCACCAGGCATTTGCTATCACATATTCTAGGTATTGTGGGGTTTTACCTTTACAGGCACATTATTCTCTCATGTAAGCGAGGTGCTGAAAATTGCCCGAAGAAGCGGTACCGCAAGCATGACAACGGACAGTCCGAGGGAAAATAGCCGGGCGTTCGGTGGTGGCGAGACACGCGAGCTTCGCGGGAAAGTGCCTCTGATGCGTGGTTCACTAGATATGGTCGCCGAGGACTCCGTCTAGAAAAACTGAGTTCCAAGGCTGAATTCAGCTGCAGTGGCTGGGGCCGGACTGAGTCGCGTACATGTAAGACGGCCATATTGTACGCCCAGACTGGGGCCCAACATGGGTATAGCGTTGACTTGTATTGACATGAACATGGGTCAAGGGGAAGATAGGACTTGGCACCATGCTATCATGCCACGCGGCTATAGTGCCCACGTACTCGGTACTCGGTACGGGCTAAATTTGCAGGGGTCGGATTGTATTGACATCTCACCTTGTTCTCGGCAGAGACAACAGCGAGCAAGTATAGAGAGGGGCTTTTGTAATCACTAGTATGAGCAATTTCTACGGTAAATGTGCTTTGCTCGAATGAACCCTGCCTGACGGCAGGCACACCCCCATGGTCATACGAGCATGGGGCCGACGCATTTGTGTTGGGGAAAGTCATGACTATGATCAATGGAACCGATTAAGGACGAAAATTGGTCCGAACACTTGTAGCCACTCCGAGTCAGACTAAGATGCTAGACTTGGAAAGACTTTGGCATGGCTCGTAGTACGTCCCTGGCACTTCAGATACCGTTGATATATCTAGCAAGGTTAGCAAACCGATTTTACAGAGATCACACCACAGTCGATGACTCAGTTTACGAATTCATCCTTCCACTTTGTTCACATTGAGACACCAAACATGGCGAAGGAAGCAAAAATGAAGGCCAGGGCGGAGAGGCCCTTGATGCTCAATCTCTTGACTCTTTCACGCTTTGACAAATACAACCCGACATTTACAACTTTTGCAGGAGGCAGGTTTTCTCATTCTACAACATGCTATGCCAACACGCGCTAACAAAGTCGAAACAGCATGGTCTGCTTTGTTGGCTGGCGCCGCGGAGACACGGCAAGAACATATGGCTCCTTCTCCTCTGTTCATACTCCGCCAAACACTGTTCTGCGTTCTTGCTGCGTATCTGTTTTGTGGAGCGGGAATGGTTTGGAATGACTGGATTGACCGCGACATAGATGCCAACGTTGCGAGAACCAAGAATCGCCCTCTGGCATCCGGCAAGGTGACAACAGCCCAAGCTTTTGTGTGGATGGCTCTACAGGTTATTGCATCGTGTGCTGTTCTCCATGTTATGCTGGACGGTAAAGACGTGTACGTCCAAACTTCTTGTGGAAAGAACACTACTGGGCGAGCCCTACTGACTATCCTCATGCCAGTTATAAGCATGTTATACCGGTCATGATTGCCTCCATGTTATACCCATTCCTCAAGCGACCTACTGCTAAGAAACTCCACATATACCCGCAATACATGCTCGCCTTCACCATTGCCTGGCCGGCCATTCCAGGCAGAGCAGCCATCTGTGGTAGAGATGAATCATTTAGTGAAACTGTGCGGTATTGCCTTCCTTTGTGTACCGTGGTTTTCTTTTGGACTATTTATCTCAATACGGCATACAGCTATCAGGATGTGGTAGATGATCGGAAGTTGAATGTGAATTCATTCTACAACATCGCGGGCCAGCACACTCATCTAGTGTTGGTTGCACTGGTTTGTCCAATCCTTGCGTGCTTGCCACTATATCTCACTCAATTCCAGTCTACATGGCTCTGGGTTACGTGGATGGGTGTTTGGACAGCAGCTTTTGCGGTACAACTGGCACTTTTCGATGCCAAAAAACCTTCTAGCGGAGGTTCTTTACACAAAAGCAACTTTATTTTGGGTATATGGACAATCGTTGTATGCTCCGTTGAGTTGCTATTGAAAGCCAGGGTTAGCATCTGAGGCAAGCAACGGATGTGGTGTATCCAAATTTGGGGAGGTTGAACATGATGCAGGCTAGGCTTTGATGTAGGCATATCAACACGGAGCTCAGGCGTCTCTTACGCGATAGTAAACATAAATAGAGCTTTTATTCTCCAAGAGACGCCACGTTTCCTACCAATTTTAAAGCCACAGGTCACAGAATTACAATTTGGTACGCACACGTTAATAGTTGTGATGCAAATAGGCAGCTACCCTATAGTTAATCTCAACTCACTGGGAGCCGCACAAAGGTCGAATGTTATGTCATGAATTGATCGTTCCATGTCACGCGCATTTCAGTATCAGGCTTGGTCGTAAATGGCGAGACCCGAGTCATGCCGGTGGCCAACTGACAGCGACATCCAGAACATGAGCAAACCCGGCACAAACCTGGCAGCCAATACATGGGGATAACCTGGCTCTGTTAGCGCCATCTGCTCGTCGTCAAATCAATCTCTCATGGAATTTTCCCAGCCCTGCCAGCACCGCCCTCCTGTCAGGCGGCACATGCCGGTCCCGTCGGCGGATGCCGCGCGGGCCGGTTATGGCAAATAATGCGCCTGTTATTTCTGACAGTTGATCTACGTCGAATTGTGGATAATCTCCCGAAACCTAATATCATACGATGGTACACAGCCCTGCTTGTAATCTTCCGGCCTCCATGCGCGCCAAGGTCCGTTACAAGCTTAGCCGCGACGATCTGAATCTATAGACCTAAGTGAGCCGCCTGTCGTATGACATGCACAGAGAACACAAAAGAACCAATCCAGTTTCATACCGAAGGGAAAACTAGCAATAAAGTTCAATTTTCCATTATAGTATTATCTAGCTCCAAGTGTACAACATTACATGATGTGCTTATTTCGAGCAACGCCAAGGTTACAGATAACCTAGTAAATCACTAAATCACCTAACTACTCTCAGGCTCGAGTCCAATCAGGTCCAAAACACGGTCGACTGCTTCTGCGCTCCCAGGACCACTGTTGCCCATTTCCTTGATCAACTGCCTAGCTTCAGCTACTAGCTCGGCAATTTTCTCTTTGCAGTGTTCAAATGAACCGGTTGCCTTGATGCATTCAACGGCGAATAACTTGACGTCGACATCTGTTGTCCGCTGTTTCAGGATGCTAGAAAGTTGGATATTTGTTGGATCTGAACGAATACTGTGAATGATGGGAAATGAGTATTTTCCCTCGGTCAGATCCTCTCCAAATCCTTTATTAACAGTGTATGCATGACTTTGCAAGTTGAGGTAATCATCGCGAATCTGGAAAATAACTCCCAGTACGTTGACAAGCGGCACAAAGTCACTAGGTGGTTGAAAAGTAATATTAGCACCAGTCTTGCATTTCTACCGTGTGTGGAAAACAAACCAGTTCTTGTCGCTCGCAAGTTGCATTAGCCTGATTGCTAGACGAAATAGGCCTCCTGTTTTGTGGGAGACCATGGAGAAATATTCCTCCTCGGTTGGACACTTTGAGGCCTCCCTCCAGTATATGTCCATGCCCTGACCGCGGTGAAGACTTAGCAGCTCCTCGGTATAAATTTCGAAAGCTTTTGGGTCGCCCAGTTTTGGGAGTTCCTGTTGTGCGAGAAAATAGGCGTAGTTGGCAGCATTAATTGTCTGAGGAACACCAAAGATATGATGTGATACAGGCAGACCACGACGAAGCTTGGATGAGTCCTGGATATCATCTATCCTAAGGCATACACTCAGCAATTACGCTCAAAATAACAGTCAGAAACAACATACAGAAGTGACGCATTATGAAGTAGCATAACAATTCGCTTGATAACTTCAAGCTTATCGGCAGGGATGCAGAGCCACTGATTAAAGGCTGAGATCATCTTGCTCCTAACATCTTTACCGGGGAGGTTAAGAAGGTAGTCGAACGGAGCTCGGATAATCTAGCAAGGCATCTCAAATCAGAACTGTATTGCAAACCTCTTTTACACATCTAAGCAATCATCGGCAGATACAACATACCTCCTCGTAGCCAGCGGCAATAGAAGAATGCAAAAGCGCCGCATCTCCTGCGAGTGGCTGTGTTTCCAGCACTGGTGAGTTCAGCTCGTTCGTGTTTGGCGCGCTTGTGGACATTGTGAATGGTATTGGAGAGCGAACGCGTAGTTGGCTGGATATTACGCAATCGAATTTATGATAAAGTGTATACAAATAGATCCCTAGTTTGTATCACGCTCCAAGTGTCCATATGGAATCAACTAAATTTAAGTACTCGACTTCTATCGACCAGACACTTATTGAGGGGCAATGCAAACGCTGAGTCATGGGGCAATTCTGCCTGGCTAGGAGGGGCTGGTACGATGCCCCTGGCATTGATATTCTTTGGGCGATACGTCCACCGACCAGACACTAAAAAAAGGTATGGGTAGACGCCTGGCTTGTATTTATGCTATAAAAGGCGAACTATTACTATGCCTGGAATCAGCTCTGTAATTATACTTTGGAATTTATTTTGTTGGTATTCTGCAGACTCCTAATGCCTTTCGCGTCTTGTAAATGTAATCTTGGTACTATTTTACCAAATGCCAAAAAAGAGCACTAGTCTTTATTAAGGTAGTTAACTGGGGATTCCTCTACAGTTCTACCATTTGCCTTGTTAGATAAGTAGATCTTTGCTTTATCCTACGTCGTATTTTACTACACTTGTCGCAGCGTATTACTGGTACTAATTTCAGGGGACATAAACCACTAGTAGGCAAAGCGTATAGGATTTGATGCGCTGTAAGTAATGCACGTACCATTGTGTTCGTTTAAAGCCACCGAAAAAAACTGACAATTTCGGCGATTTACGTAACTGCACTTGTCTTTCCACCAAGCCGTGTCCTAAAGTTGCAGGATGTCTAGTATAGGTGCTACTAAAGCACTGGCCTGCTAGCATCAATTTCAGCAGGGTTTCTCAGGGGCGTTGGAATAGTGGCTGTTAAAAATACTTATTGCAAACGCCCTGGAGGTGCTCGTATTCATGGTCTTACCCATGGGCCGGTTATTCCACTTATGCGCAGGGTTTACTGGAAAGCCAAGCCTTAACCGTCATGAACCATGCCCAGCCAAGGACCAGGCCTTGGGGCCAGGCACGTCCGTGTTCTTTGTCTAGCTCCTATTATCCCTCGCAATTAATTTCAGGCTGACAACTTGGCTTCTCGTATGATTCCTCATTGGCTTATTTGGAACTCGACGTATTGGGTCGCAGGTGCAGAAGCCTGCAAATACCATATCAGCGCACACTCGTGGCATCTTTTCCCGCGTAATGGACATGCTCTGTTTCTAGTATTGGTTGTTGAGACCAGGCTACCTTCCAAAGAATAATTGGACTTGTTGCGGTGCTGTTTTTATTTCATTCATCTCCAATGTCTCAAAGACAATTCAAAGTCATCATCATCGGCGGTTCCGTAACGGGCCTAACGTTAGCTCACAGCTTGCACAAATTTGGAATTGACTATGTAGTTCTCGAGAAAAGGGACACAGTCACACCACAGGAAGGAGCGTCTATTGGCATATTGCCCAATGGCGCTAGAATACTGGATCAACTCGGTCTTTATGAAGCTATCGAAGATGAGGCGCCACCTCTAGGGGCCACACGCATCCATTTTCCAGACGGATTTGCGTTCACCAGTCTGTATCCTAAGAAAATCCTTGAAAAGTATGCAAGTCGTCTCTACTTAGCATGTAAATAAATTAAAGGGCTAATGAGACATAGTTTTGGGTATCCAATCGCTTTCTTGGAGAGAAGACAGCTTCTCCGTATTTTATATAATGCTCTTCCTGACAAGACAAGGATTCATGTTAACAAAACCATGTCTACTATTGAGCATTTCACAAAGGATGAAATAACAGGTGCTCGCGTCTTGACCAAGGAGGGGGACGTCTATGAAGGGGATCTGATTGTTGGCGCTGATGGAATACACAGTCAGACTCGGGGGGAAATTTGGCGTCGGATAAACTCGTCAAAGTCGGCATTCAAAACAGCCGAGTGCATCGATAAATGTAGATGCAGTCCGCTCCAGTTACACGAAAATTTTACTAATGAAGCATGTCAGGTATTCTAATCGAGTATTCTTGCTGTTTCGGTATTTCAAAATGTGTTACAGGGCTCATTGCTGGAGAGCAAGTTATGCATATGAGCAATGGACGAACCCTAGTCGTTATTCCATCTAAAGATGAGGTGGTTTTTTGGTTCTTGGTCGAAAAGCTTGATCGGAAATATACATATAGTGAAGCCCCTCGCTTCACGATTGATGACGCAACTGCATTGTGCTCGCAGGTCTTTACGCTACCGATTGGGAACGGCATCAAATTCAAGGACGTTTGGAATAAGAGAGAAGTTGTTAACATGCTTAGCCTGGAGGAGAGCTGTCTTAGCACGTGGTCAACGGGTAGACTGGTCTGCATTGGCGACAGTATTCACAAGGTAAGCATACCCTCTTAAACAAACTAGAGTTATGCTTGGCTATTCACAAATTTTCTATGAGCAGATGACTGTCAACCTCGGACAGGGGGCGAATTGTGCAATCGAAGACGTGGCTGTTTTGTGTAACCTGCTTCGGAACATGTGCCAGTTAAAATCCGGTACACGTCCAACAGAGCAAGAAATTGATCTGTTGCTCAGAAGATTTAACAAGCAACACCTTTCTAGAGTAACGCAGATCACGAACATGTCGAAGCTGACAGTCCGTGTCCATGCCCGAAAGGGACTGCTTCACAGATTCGTGGGAAGATATATAATGCCATACTTTGGCGCATATTTCGAGGCTCGACCTTTCAACATGCTTGCTGATGCTGCTTCCTTGGATTTTATACCTCTTCCCAAGTCATCGTACCCGGGCTGGGATAAGTATAGCAGCAAAACCCGTGGAAATAGTAGGCTCTGGCCGCTAATGTTAACTCTGCCTCTTCTATATTTTGGGCTGTCGTGGATTGTGGGTATATATTGGAAAGCTGGATACTTGCATGCTGGGAACTCTTAGCTTGACCATAAATCTGGTTTTCTCTCACGATTTACAACTCAATAATACTATCCGATGCGCTGCTACCACAAGTCCTCTAAACTCATAAATACTTCTTTTCCCATACTTGACCTTGAATGTACTTTACAGCTCAACTACCAATTTCAGCCCAATTTTAAGGATAAGTGAGTGATTCATAATGCCGTGTTATAGTTTAAGCCAGAATGTGTCCACTTGTCTGACCTGTCCAACTCAACAATACCGTTCAAGGTGTAGTTTTGACTTTTGAATTGACAATATAAAAGGGTTCTTTTCTTTATTATATTGTATAGTTGGAAGATAAAAACATCCACTCGCTTAAACAAACCTCTCAAGGGATTGAGGGCCAGTTTCGGATGCCTCGTAATCCGCTCGGGGAACTTGGCGAGCAAGGTGTTAACCAAACTACCCGCATAGATGCCAGGCAACAGAACCGACAACAGTTCCTATTTCCATCGTATCTAATCTCTCTTCGGCTTTTGGGGCGGGCCGGAGACACTACAACTCCTCACTGAGGCGCAATCGGGTCCCTCGACGTTGGGCATTATGGAAACCAGCGACTTGTAAGGCGTGAAGATGGATCCCCGGCGGTTGTTCCAGTTCAAGGCCATAAGCGTATCTTGGCACCAGACATAATTGCAAAGCGGCTCCTGGGGCTAAATTAAACCGCCGACATTTATCCACCCTCATGCCACGACGGGGATAACAAACCAGAAGAATAGAACGACGGCTATGGGGCGCAGTCGAGCGTACCACAAAACATCAGAAGGTGTTTGGGAAGCCACAATGGATAATTTGTGACCCTCGTAGCTAAATTCAACCTGTTCGGTCGCCTCACATTGACGTCCGTTTCATTTGACCATGTCGGTCAAGCCGACGGTGGGCTGACAAAAACGCCCGAAAAAAAATTATTCTCCTGTCACTCTTTATCCAACTAGGCTTACGTATTTGCAATAGCACTCGGTTCACGGCCGAACAGCCCGAATTCACATGGGAAACGAATGTTTGATATAGCACCACAACTCCAGTTCGTGCTAGTGTGGCTGAGCAGGTTCCAGCGTTTCGGTCACGAGATTCAGGAGCGGAATATTTCCCCGAAGAAGTCAATACCAACCTGCCCACCTGCACTGCAACGTGGTACTTCCCGGTACCATGGAACATGGCACCAGCATGGCAAGATTTGGCCCCCAAGATGATCCCAGAACCTGGCCATGTTGCCAACCACAGCCACACAAATTCGGAAATTATAGACGCCCGCCATTGGATTCCTGGTTGCCCACTGGATAGGCTATCAAAGCCTTGCATCTTCTAGTCGCATTAGCACATGCAGTGAGATACCCATGGTTTACAGAGTAGCATTGCGGCACTCGAAGCGAACTCTCCACACTATTCTTCCTTCGGGTCTTCTGCAACGCGTTGCAGTAAACGATACTACGTCTGATTACCTTGAATTATCCGAATAATCGATTGTCTCTTATTTTAGCAATAGAGGCCCGGGCGGTACTATTGGACAAGTATTGCACCTACCAGTCGTTTGACCACTTGCAAAACGGCCCCGGTGTTCTTCGCAAGAGAGTGGCCTGACTCGATGTCCACGAACCGTCCCCGCCCACTCCTTGCCGTTCTTCCAGACGATACTACTAGCCGGCTCGGAAGGGCCCGGTTATGAGCCGTTCAGTTTAGGACCGCTACAGCGCTTACTTGGCGGATGGTAAAAGGCACTTTTGATCATAGAAGGTTGTACTTGTCTTGGTGACAACCAAATCCAAGCTTGCTTGCTGGCAAGGGAGATACAAGTCCGCGCTGAATAGTGCGAAGAGTACCTTGAATTGTTTTTTGACTTTACTACAACCTGCCCTACTGTTCAAGCCCTGCCATGTCCCTCCTGTTACTAGCTGGGATGGACCCAATTCCCCATAACCCGGTGATAAGCCGTTCCTCTCCTGGCGGCATAATCGCCTCTCCGTATTTTGCATGGCGTTCAGGCAATATGGAGAAAACGGCCGCATGTCCCCGTGGATTTAAGATGGTCCCACGATATGTATATAAGCCTGCTAGGACTGGGGTCCCAAGTACACTCTGTCGCAGAGACCCTTATGTCCTAGTTCGTGTCGAACTCGAGCCGACCTTTATTTTTCTATAACTCTATTCGTCAACGGGGCAATTCCACCTTGCACAAATGACACGCCTCTCCCTTCAGCTCATTGCTGGCCTCGCCGGACAGGCTTGGTTGGTTAACTCCGATACACCTAGCCATGATGCATTTGCTTCTTGCCTTTCGGATGCCAGAGTACCCATTGCAACAAAGGGCACTCCAGAATGGACACAGCATACTACCCCCTTCAATACCCGACTTCAGTATGAGCCCATCGCTGTCGCTGTCCCTACCCAGATCTCCCAAATCGCAGCTGCCGTAACATGTGCCAAAAAGAATAGCATTCCCGTTACTGCCAAAAGTGGCGGCCATAGTTTCACCTCACTTGGCCTTGGAGGGGAGGACGGGCATCTTGTCATTCAACTAGATCGAATGTACAATGTTGAGCTTGCTCAGAATGGAACAGCGAGGATTCAGTCTGGTGCGAGATTGGGTCACGTTGCTGTCGAACTGTACAATCAAGGGAAGAGAGCACTTTCACATGGATATTGCCCAGCGTAGGTTCAATGGTATTACACAAGCTAAAATGTGTTGATGTACTAAAAGAAGTCAGTGTTGGCGTCGGCGGTCACGCTGCCCATGGAGGGTATGGAATGGTATCGCGAAAGTTTGGTCTTACCCTTGATTGGATGAAAGACGCCACCGTTGTTCTCCATAATGGCACAATTGTGTATTGCTCCGAGAGCGAGCATTCGGATCTTTTCTGGGCAATTCGGGGTGCGGGTTCTTCCTTCGGTATTGTGGCAGAGTATGGGTTTGAAACATTCCCTGCTCCTGAGAAGGTAACGAATTTTGGCATTATCTTAGATTGGGATCCAGAAACCGCCCCTTCTGGTCTCCTCGCATTCCAAGACTTTGCACAAACTATGCCCAGCGAGCTGTCATGCCAAATTGACGTTAGATCGACTGGCTACACACTTAATGGTTCATACGTTGGCAATGAAGCCAGTCTTCGTGAAGCATTAGTGCCTCTGCTAGGGAAGATTGGTGGGCAGCTTGAAGTCCATGAGGGGAATTGGCTCGAATACGTCAAGTTTTGGGCGCTTGGTCAGCCCAACATCGATATAACACCGCCCGCAGATAATGTGGTAAGTCGTCTGCTACAACGCAATATGTTCCAGGTATATGCCGACTAAAATCAAATTTAGCATTTGTCGCTCTACACAACTGGCGCCCTTACCCCATCTCTCTCGGCCAATCAATTCAGATCTTTTGCCGACTATATCGCCACAGACGCTATAAAGAGAGGCAATTCATGGTCGATCCAAATGTTCATACATGGAGGCCAGTATTCTGCTATTGGCGGACCAAAGGTTACCGACACAGCCTACGCGCATCGGGACAAGTTCCTCATTTTCCAGTTCACCGATTTTGTTTGGCCTAGTCAAGAGTATCCTGAGGACGGGCTTGCTCTTGGTCGAGAGTTTAGGGATATTATAACAAATTCCTTTACGAATGGTCAATGGGGAATGTATGCCAACGTTCCTGACTCTCAGTTGAGCTCAGGCGAGGCTCAGAAATTGTATTGGGGCAAGAACCTTGAAAGACTGGAAACTATCAAGGCGAAATATGATCCCAATAATTTGTTTAGGAACCCCCAATCAGTCAAGGCCGCGGCCCGCTGCGCAACACGTCCACTGCCCTTACAAGGTCAAAGTTTATTATTTTAGATGTCCTCTGAAATACATGTTCCAGCGAGTTATTTTAAATCACCTCAAGTGTCACCTGTTTTGTGCCAAGTCGGGATTTTGGTTGAGTTTGGCCCAACAATCTCTTAGAGATATTTAGAAAGAAAAGGTGTTCTAATGTATTGTTACTACGTTGTATAAACATTCATTTGTCTCTGGGCTAGTAGGCTAGGTAGTGCTGGTCACTACGCGCGCTAGCGGATTAGAGGTTTAAATATTGAAAAAAGAAAATTGATGACATCGCGGTTGCCGAGATATAAACTGTTATTATTGATAGCAAACTGGTAAATACTGAGTTATTAAAGTACCGGTCGATTTCTGCCGGACTCTTTGCAGACTTGCCTGCTAACATGGACCTGGAATGTTCTTGGCTGTTGAATTCATCCATCTTTCCCTTTTCTATATCTCTTTGTTCGCACCGGCAGAAGGGCGTATATAATTCCTCTTTTTTTCTTTCGTATTTCGATATTATGAATCTGATTGTGTGATTCTCTTTGACTGAACATGTTGCTCACCTCATTTGTAGGTATAAGATTCGCTTGTAATCCTCGCCGCTTGACTCATGATTTGACCCCATGCCCTCTGTCCCAGACGTTGAATTCCAGTGTTGTGAACTGAGCTCTCAAGGCATCCAAAATCTACGAGTTTGATAAACATGTTTAAGTAGTGTAATATTTCACGATGCAACAGCGGCGACATTGGCGAAGTGAGATGCCACTTACAATTATAGTAATAAAGTACTAGTCACAGGGTCTTGATAGATCAGTAATCTTTATTACCCCCTGGCTAATCCCTCCTCCACTTGCACGGCTTCTAACGTAGATAGAATGTGGAACTTGGGGCAGCATTTTGGTGAGGCGATGTTTCCTTCAACTGTTTCTTCTAGCAGTAGCAAGCTAACCAATCGACTTACATGCTGACCAAGCCAATGGTATAATGTCTTTGGACCGAATACTTCACATGCGTACCCTTATGACTTGCTTGCCCCTGCAACTTACCATGATACAGGGTCTCTCAACTGTGTGCAGCCAGATCGGAACAACAGGTGATGTTATAAACTCCCAGGATAATAGTTTGTGCTATATATATGCCCAAAATTGCATACTAGGGCTTGCTCACTAATATATTAGTCACGATCCGAGGCTTTTCGTTTAGCTAAGCATTAGCACCAAGAGTTCATGGAGCGAACTTGTCGAAGCAATCCCTCCAAAACCATACGGGGCCCATGTGTAGCGTAGTCTAACACCTCAAGTCCTATTGATATGTCATAAACTTCGCATTCATAAGGCTGTTAGTAGAAACATAAAGACCGTTAGTTTAGCTCCCGGCCGTTCCTATTCACGCAGACTTGAAAACCCCTCCACAAAAGCTATAATGACGCCTTTCCACTACTGCCTACATAATCTAATTGCCGTCTATTTGCCGTCTTCACCGGTAAATTGTCAGGCAGGCCTGGCTCTTGCAAGGTGGGTGCGCTTTAGCCCGCCCTGCCCGGTCCTGGGCTTCTAGTTCTGGGATTAGACATATGTCATGAGTCGAAGAAGCTGCTCATTGGGTTCTCGTAGCGCTTGGGTCTGCTTCCTCTGACAATTTGGAGGATCCCACGATGCCGCTCGGGCCGCTCGGGCCGTTCGCGCATGATTCGTGATATATGCCTGTTACTGGTTGCGCAATTCTTTCTGCACATCAAGGATCGTGGGAAGTTGGTAAAGAAGGCTGCCGGCAGCTTGACAGTAGTGGCCTTTTTGAAGTCGAATAGAATGTCAATTCTCATCTGTGAGTCCATCCCCATTTGAGCGAATATTGCGCCCATTGTACTTTCTAAGTCGGCCAAGTCGATGCCACTCCAGTGATACGCGCTCAAACAATTTCGCCGACAGGACTATAGCGGCGGACAAAGCGCATGGCGACGCTCCAGTTCCCTTTTCTTGGTGCTGTTTTCGGCTTTACCGGCCTCCAGGTGCAGCTTTAGAAGCGCGGCAGCCTAGCTTACCAGCAGTGCAAAGCAACCTTGTTGAAGCTTCTTGAAGTGGATATTCGTATAAAGCGTGACCAGCTTCTCCGTGAAGTTTGGTATGTACAATTCGCACTGCCTTGTCCCGGATTTGGCGTTTTGCTTCCGAACAGAGGCCTAAGCCAGGAATGGTACTTGCCATGACAAGTTATCCGGTATGCTCAATTGGCAACGTGGGCTTCATGCCTGGAGTATCTACGGCCGAATTCATCAGACAACCGGAACATGAACAAAGGGGTCAATTATGAAAGGGTTACAAGTACAGGGGACGAAATCTATGGTTAATGTATCTTGCAAGACAATAACGGCGGAAACGTCCCATGGTAGCGACTCTTCTTCGATGTATGAGAGATTCTGGCGGCTTCATCTGAGCTTTTCACCCGCTCATCTGCAAGCGACTTCATTATTCGAGACTATGCTTGAGTGACCGGCGCATCCAGCTCGGTTAGCCAGACCAAGTAGGACGCCCACTCAACCAGGGAAGAGACAAATCCCTCTCGACGGGGTAGGAACTGCACCAAGACGATGTCTATTGACCTTTCGAGAACTTCAGCCTTCGCAAAGACGGTGACGACGGCGTTCGTAAGGTAGCGCTCCTCATCTGGTTCGATTGTGCTTGTGCAAGGGCCATTAGTGGTGTAGTACTATTGAGCCGGCTGAGTCGGTGGCAGCGTCAGGCCCTTCTAAGCTCAAGCATGTTCTGGCTCAAACTTGAAAAAGTTGACTACCTGCTGACCATGATAAAACTATGCACAGGGCAAAGCCATCTTCTGGCCCTTATATCGCAGCCTAAAAACCTGTCGCGATATCCCAAGTAGCCGGGTGATGCATACAGCGTTAGGCCACGAACTCGAGGCGTCAGCACAATGCGACGTCATATTGAAAGTCCTTGATAAAGTGGCGGACCGTACATTACGGATGAAAATACTACATATAGAAGCGCGCAAGAACTTGTAGCAGCGCACCTCGTGAACTGTCTCTTCCTATACAACCGGTCGCTTCACAGCCCCACGGTCATCTTCAGCTCTCATTCATGCGTACCAGCTGAGGGGGAAGATGGGGCCACTTTCATCTCGTGCCCATACTCATCCATCGCAGGATTGTCTGATCTGGGATGGATGGACTGAGAGGCATTCTTCTCCTCTGTAGTTGAGTGTTGGAGAGCATGTTCTTTACGCCAAACTAGTTTTGGCTTTCATCCACAGTGAAAATCACAATGCTATCCACAATTGGCATCTCGACACGTACCAGCTCAGCAGTTGCCAAGCAGGCAGCATCGTGAGTTTATTCACGGGTTTACAGAGAATAGCGCCGCACGCATACATCCTCTCTGGAGCCTCATTTCTTCGACATGTTCATATTGGATAATAGCGAGCCCAATCGTCGCTCATAGGCGTGCTGGCGCAATGGGAGCGCGTAGTCCTCCTAAGACTAAGGTTCAGGGTTCGAGTCCCTGGTACGTCGATCTAAGATGTCTTTTTTTTTTCTTTTTCTTACTCAAGTCAAGTTTATATTTCATCTAATGCATATTTTAGGCATAATGGAAATATGGTCTGTCTTTTCTAATTCCCTCTCTCTTACCAATTCCAACAACTAGCAATAGCGATCCCATGGGTGTACAGCCTATTGCGTATAGTAAAATCGTGGACTGCCCATGTGTTGGGTCACGTGTGTCGCTGCCCCTCATTGACTGTGGTCCAGAGGCCCGCAGCTTCCCTTTGGCTTCTTCTCTCTTCATCTCTTCCATCAGCTCTTTAGCTCAGAGCAGCCGTTGCTAGCCAGGGAGCCATCAGAGAGTTCATGCATCATCATTCGTTTCTCATCGTATGTGTATGTCCCACGACACCATGTTTACTGTACGTGCGCCTCGCTCGTACAGAAACTTAGTTGTTTACAGATATATACTTATATTCTCTTTTCTTTTTCTTGAATATCTCTCCTGAATGTAATTCCAATGGATATATTTAGCTATGTGAGTTGGTTGATTGCGAGCATAGACCTAAAGCGAGTACCCGCACCCCTGAAGGTCGTTTGCCAAAAAGAAATTCACTCTTGCTTGAAGTTCACTGTGCGCGTTTGCATGCTCGCTCCCATTTGTAGTCAACTTCACGTTATCTTTCTTATCTATAGCTTTGTTGACCGCTCTACTCGTGTATGATCTTTGCGCTTCCATCATCATGATCCATCACTTTTGCCTTATTTCACAGTTAAACCAAGGAGAGGGGGGGTTTGCAGTTTCTCTCGGGCTGCTTTTAAGGCTTCATTTGATCCTCTTCCAGACCTTTCCATCTGCTCATATTACTTACCGCAACTTATTTCAGCAATTTTTTGGCCGTCGTACTTTCTGGAATCCTAAATCCTAGGATGAAGTCAAATCCATTATATCACCTTTTTGGTGATCTGTATCTGGATGACCCGAGTCCAAATCTGTTTCTGGTTCAAAAGCTAAAACGCTTCAAGCCGTACATCAACGACCTAGAGCATCGAAAAACTCTAACTTATACTTGGAATTGCCAAGACGCTTTCCACAATGCGGCCCAAGCAGAAGTAGCTTGTGGTCAGACGCACGGCCTGAAAAGAGATGTTCGATTCCTAATCCCGCCCGATGGACCGTTAGACGCGTCTCTTTCGTGCCATCTGCACAATCCAAACTTCAATGTTGCCGACCCTTGTTCCTCTCGCGGTACAGACTGTTCAAATCCGTCCATCCACCAGATAATGGCTGCAGGTTTCTCTCCCGACAAAGTCCTGATTTATGATCACATTTTCCGGTGTGAACCTGTGGATGGCTTTACAGCATACCCACCCGACGTACTAGATATACATGAGAAATTTACGTCTGATTTACGAAGTCATATGGCAGCAGTCGTTGATGTTGTTTGGGGAGCACCTGTACGCGAGAGGATGAAGAAAACGCAGCGGCTTGAGGGCTTCAGCTTTGGGGGCAGTACCAGGGTGTTTCTATCTTCTTGGAGTGGGAGACGAGCAATAGTAGATTACGACGGTTCGTGGTATTCGTTTGTCATTCTGAGGCTATGATTTATGCCGACCCGACTCCGTTGGGTAAAAAGCAAGATCTTCCTCCACCTCCAGATGGCTGCCAAATTAGCCAAAATGCATATCCCTGATAGGTTCTACGAAGAAATCTACCAACGGGGAAGCCATAAGTTCTTATCAGGGGCAGAGTATGCCAGACGGGCTGCATTAAACGAAGAAGCGATTATCCAACTTGAAAGCATTGGGTACCGGTCCCGATCACCCACCGAAATCGATCGGCAAAGACGTAATCGTATTCCGTATCTTGAACGCAAGAAGCTGCGCCAGTATCCTGAACTGTGTGGGTATTTGGACAAGACGGACGAAGAAGAATTTGTGAGATTGGACGAGGAGATCAAGGCTCTATAACATGCGAGTCAACAACAACAGGTAAGAAGCACTTATGGTACTATACTCACCTCTAACAAAAACCAAATAGGCTAGCTCGACTCCAGCTTTTTACATACACCCCAGGATCGACTCAGAGTTTATCGGCCCAAGATGGTTGACGATCCTGGCTTCATCACTAGTTGGTGGTAATGTGGAAATACTACCGCCGCTGATGCGATGTAACTATGCTATGCTCTCGCAGACGGCGAATTCGAACATTCAGGGGCAGTCGAATGGGGGGGACGTTCCGAGGACCTTGCGTCGTTGGCTCCAGGAACAAGACGGACGGAAATTTGATGGAGTTCCGATAGCCTCGGTACGTGATCTCTTGAGGGTCCATCGTCTAATTTTTAAGAGACCAGCAATCCGGGAAGAGGATCTGAAGGCTAGCATTATGAAGATCTTTGTCGCGGTGGCAAGCCGCTATTACCATCTGCTCGTGTATGTAGCTCGTGATAGTGGCTTTGACCACTTGATCATCTGGGGAACGCAGCCTCTGGCCTTGAAGTGTTCCAACTGATAATCGCGCTTACTTGATGACCTATTTTTAAGATTTAAGAAGTCTGACAAGAACCGCTACGTCGCACACCATCTGAAACGGGGATGCGGGTCTGAGGCCTGCCAACAAGTTCAAACGCCAGGCTTTGCTGTTCCTTGTAATAGTCAGTTTCCATGGGCAACGCCGAAAACTGTAGTGTCGGAATGGCCCCCGATGAAAGCGGATTGGACAGACGTGCTACGTCGTCAAGGATCAAGCACAGCACATCTCCCCAGCAATGTAGGGTTAGGGAGATCACCACCTGAGTCAGTCAAGGACCAAGGTATGAGAGAAAATCTTGTTTCAAGGAGCCGATCAACGCGGATCTAGAAACACTGCTAGTCAAACGTGACGCCTGTTGCAAATCACAAGCGGTAATCGGTAAATCAATGGGACTCGTCTCAAACAGCTCCGATTCGCAATACTACAGATGCTAGCCATGGCCTGTGATGGCTCCTAACCTGTTCAAAGTTGGCATGGACACAGGGCCATCTTCCATCCGAAGGCTTGAGGCTTGTATAGATTGATAGATGGATGGATGGACGGGCGCCTTATTGCAACACAAAACTACTCAGATCGGAAGTCACCGGCGTCTCTGATTGGCGACATTGAAATAGAACAAAATCAGTACAGGCCTGGCTCCGGAATGGTCCAGCATTAGGTGGAGATATTCAAGACAACATAAGTGCTGGGGGCCACTAGTGTCGGCGAGATAAAACAGTAGGTGATACACACCACCACCAAGGCGGCCCCCCCGATGGAAACAGAAGTGTATGGGATTGTCAGGCTCACGAGTCAATCACTAGCAACCGCGCGGGCGGGCGGGACGCAGACAACATATATGGCGTCTGTAATATGTATATAAACTCGATGAGAAGAAGGCCAAGAGAGAATTATTGCTCATCATAATAACATCGTTTCTTATTCTTATTGCCCTGCCAGCTCTAATTGTTGACTTTTTTCTCATCTTTTCCCCTTATTATTTTTTAAAAGAACTGCATCAGGATGCGTTCGGCAACTATGTACATGGCCCTGGTGGCCTTTTCTTCCAGTCTTGTTAACGCCCACGGCAAGCCCACGACTGCTGTACGTCACTGAAAAAAAAACAAAAGCCATGCCTTGCAAGAATCATGTTATCCCTAACAAAGCCTCTTTAGACTGGAAACGCCGGTGGCGTCTCCCGAGCGCTGGGCCTTCTGCCCGAAGGCTCGGTGCCGGACACGGGTCCCAACAAATTGACCGAGGTCGACACGCCCGTTTTTGGTAGCAGAAAGATCGCTTCCAAGGGACTGGGCAGGACAGCTGGCGGCGGTAAGATCAAGCTCGCCGACGCGGCCAAGAGTATCCAGGACGCTGGCGGTGATCCTGCCAAGATCACCCCAGGCGGACAGCTCAGCTTCACTTGGCAAACTGTGACTTCTGTACGTGCGGTTTCCAGATAGTGGTTTACTATCCCCAAACAACGGGCCATGTTGTCCTTGCTTACCCTGATGACAGGACGGCGGTGGCCCAATCCGAGCTCTGTGTAACACGGAAGGAAAAGACGATTTCACCCAGAACTCGGTCGAGCTTAAAATTCAAGACAATGTCCCAGGCAAGGGCGGAAACATTAAGCCAGGGCCAAACGCCAGCAGGAAGCTACCACCTGGCTTTCAAGCGAAAGGACAAGGCAAGGGTGGCAAGAATAACGCGAGAGACGAGATTAATGATTTGTTTGGTCGCTTCATCGGGAAGCGAGCCGTCAACGTCAATGAGAAAACGGTGAGTGGCAACATCGCTTTTGTGAGATTGAAAACGAAACTAATTGTGTCACGTCCCCCTACAACAGAACGTCGTGGCCACGGCTCCCAACGACATGACTTGTAATGGAGTGATTGGCAGCAATAGTCAGATGTGTCTATGCAAGATTGCCAATAATAACGGGGCTGGTCCCTTTGGTGGTGTCATGCCTGTCCAGATGGTCGGCGGCAATTCAACTGGAGAGGCTTCAGCTGGAAATGGGGCAACGGGAGGCAATGCTGGAGGCAATTCTGGCGACAATGCTGGAGGCAATTCTGGAGGCAATTCTGGAGGCAATTCCGGAGACAATGCTGGAGGCAATTCCGGAGACAATGCTGGAGGCAATTCCGGAGACAATGCTGGAGGCAATTCTGGAAACAATGCTGGAGGCAATTCCGGAGGCAATTCCGGTGCTGCCAACAAGTTTTAGTCATAGAAAATTGGCTAAAACCATGTCCATATTAGTGAACATCCGCAAATCAATACCGGTATTGTTTGGGGCGGCGACTTTTATCTACACGGAAATTCGGGAGAAGTCGCAGGGTCCATCGTTAGCCACTATAAGAAGGGTCTTATGCTCACCTTTTAAATTTACCAAGTTTTGCCTTTATGATCCCGTTTGTTAGCAGGTGTATTTGACGAATTACAATGTCCGTCGCGGGTGTATTGGCGTTCTGTAGTTCGTGGAGGCGCTGCTGACAGACCGCGAAGAATGGAATTCTTCATCATGCCCTCATCCATATCCGGCGTTATGGGCTCTCCAGAACAGAGCAACTATGCGGCAGGAAAATGCCTAAGCCCGATTTACTTGGGTGTCTCGAGTCCTGCTTTTCTCCTTCCTTGGACGGCTATGCCAAAGTGACACAAACGGTCACTGGCCTCAGGTACTTCGCGTCGCTATTAAAAGAAGACAAAGAGGCACTGATATTGCGTGGTCGCATAACCCTCTTATCATCACACTGCGACGAACTATTGGGGCAAGAGGGGCCGATCCAAAGAGTGATTTCGCCATCGACCTTGCTCACGAAGGAAAAGCCCATCTCACCGTCTGATCTATTTTTGGCACCTTCTTGACATCTGGTCGCTTGAAGGACCTCCACGGCGGCGCCTGACGCAGCAGTTTAAACAGCGCATGCCGCTACTTCTAAGTATTTCTATATCCCTATACTATCGCTGTTTTTCCACCGACTGTTTGAACCATTCTTCCCATGACCAAACATCCGACGCGCTACTATTCGGCTTGCCCACCTCGCCGTAAAGCTTCGGTCGCTTCTTCCGCTTCCCGTTGTGAGGCTCTGTGGTTCTACCTAATTCGCGGTGATGTTTCCCAGTTTTGCGAGGAACCCGTCACTCGACGACCTATGGGCAAAAGGCTCAAATATTACAGTCCTGGATTCATATCTTACAAGTTAGAGGCACATGGGAACGGCATTACGGGCCAAAAGAATGCCTCAAGCGAGCGGAGTATAAGGGGCATGCAGGGCTTGAATATAGAACTTCTTGCCCGGGTGAAAAGCGACAACAGAGTCCCTTAGTACTGATTCCGACTTCCCTAGTACCAATTTCTGTCTCATGTAGACGCACCCAGGCATGCCAGAGGTACGACGTACGAAGGGACCCAGGGCATGTCTGTTAATGCCGCTTGGGTGTCGCGAAACTACGGACTCCTTCTCTGGCTTCCTGTACTAAACGTGCAGTTGCGGTATGGATAGATTATTGAGCCAAGAGGATACCTGTGGGAGAAGATGGCCGAGATGAAGATCTATATAACCGAGTTAACCGGTGTGTCTGCATTTGATCTCGTTCCTCAAAATATTATCCATGATTGCCTGGCATTATTCTGCCCGATACTTTCCACTTCTCGGTCCTTGTGTTACTTCTAGATCTGATTTGTCGCCACTTGACCTGTCTTGACATTTTCGTAACCCTTTCGACCTATGGCATAGCGCCTTGGACGCCATTTGAGAAGCAATTATAGCATCCCCACAACGGATAAGTCGGCACTACCTGCTACAAGATTGCGTCTTCATGACGATGAGGCATACTTTAGTGTGTTCTAAATAACGATGTATACATTGGTTCGACAGCTATAATTGGCCATATGCATACTGAAGCCATTGCCAACCGTGGGTTGGTCGTCAAATATACCACTCGCAATCCGCATCAACACATGTAATCGCTGGAACTTTGTTGAAGCCGCCTTTCAAGCCACTCAGCCTTCAATTACGGCACAGCTCGGTCATTCATAGCCGACGTAAAAAGACATGTAAACATATGCTTAGTCCCAATACACTGGTTCTCGATAACATCTACTTTCCAATTCTCGTTTGGAAGTCTTCTTTTAACCCCTCGAAAAGTGCCATACTGCTGCAATGGATACTTCGTGCTGGAAGGTCAAAGTCCAACCTCATCCCGGCTCATCGGTGCATGATATTGCCACCGAGCCGAACTGGGGTGTTGGCCACGAGCATCGTGTAGGGTATAGGAATAGCAGCAATCGCTTACCAGGGTTGACCGATGATGGGGATTACCACGCAGAGATTGAGCAGGCGCAGTTGGCGCGGAAAGAACTAGAGGAGGAGATAACCCATGGGACACTGATCAATTTCCGCCAGCTGATTGAACACCAGCCCGTTAGCCCATTTCTGCGTCTTCATATTATTCAAGAGCTAACACAGGTAGTAGGACTTCCACCTCAGACACCCCGAGAATAAGTCTCAGGGCTGGAGATATGTGCTTGATACCACGGAGGACTGGGTGAAGCAGAAGCAAGACTGGCCTATTAACATTCGTAGAAAGCAAGAGGAACAAAAAAGTGCGGCAAAAAATGACAAAGAAAAGAAAGAGAGGAGGGCTCAACAGGAGCATGAGTGGCGGCGAGATTCTGACACGGAAAAACACAACGACGCTTATGCCGTCAAAAACGCGTCAAGCGATAAAGAAAAACGTCTCGAGGACATGTATTCAATGCACGAAATTGCTCTGCTTCGGGGTCTAGAGCATGAGAATGACTACGTGTCGCATCTCAAAGAAAATGATGGCAAAGGAAACGCGCCCAAGGTGCCAAATCAGACGCAGATCTCTATCGATGAGCAGGACCAATTCAGTCCTGATAATTGGCTTCCTCGTTCCTCGCACCTGATCCGTAACACGGGCAAGCACCCATTGAATGCCGAGCCCGACCTAAGCCAGCTCTTTTCCTCTGGCTTAATTACACCTAATGAGCTACACTACGTTAGAAACCATGGGGGTGTCCCAAGACTATTGTGGGAGTTCCACCAGCTCAAGGTCGAGTATAACAGCACAACAAAGATATACTCCATGGAGGATATTAAGGGCTTCGACGTCATCAACATACCTATCGCGCTAGCGTGCGATGGTAACAGGAGGAAAGAGCTCAATATGATGAAGAGAAGCAAGGGGTTCGATTGGGGACCTGGGGGTGTTAGTTGCTCTTACTGGAAAGGCCCTCTACTCAGAGATGTTCTAGTCGATGCGGGAGTTCCAGAATTGCCGCCTGATCTGGGTGGCAAGCGATATTGGGTCAATTTTGAGGGTGCGGATGAGCTCAGCGAGGGGAATTATGCGACATCAATCCCGTTTGAATATGCCATGTGTGCGCAAAACGATATTCTCCTGGCCTATGAGATGAATGACGTTCCGTTGCCGCCGGATCACGGGTATCCCATTAGGGTGATAATTCCAGGCTACGTAGGAGGCAGATGCGTCAAATGGCTGCGGAAGATATGGATTAGCCAGGAGGAGAATAAGTCTCACTATCATATTTGGGACAATCGTGTCCTCCCCGCCTTTATCTCTGAGATGGACGGTCCTTTTGCAGAAGCGCTATTTCGGCATCCGGATACGGCCTGCAATGAACAGAACCTCAATTCTATTATTGCAAAGCCTGCCCATGGCGAAACAATATCACTATCCCAGGCCCGGAAAGGCAGCAGCTATCGTATAGCAGGTATCGCATATGATGGTGGGGGCCATGAGGTGCAGCGAGTCGAGGTTTCTCTTGACAATGGCAAGACATGGCTATACTGTATTCGCAGATTTCCCGAAGCTCCTATTCGACATGGTAATAAGTACTGGGCATGGGTTCATTGGCATGTTGACGTTGACGTTGTTCAGCTTCTCCGAGCGAGTAGTATAACTGCGCGGTGTTTCAATGTCTTTAAAAACACGCAACCTAGGGACCCGAACTGGAACATCATGGGAATGATGAATAACTGTTGGTACACTGTCAAACTGGAGATAGTGAATCGGGAGCAGTCGGCTGTGCCCTACATGCTATTCCGCCATCCGACGGAGCCTGGCAAGGGAGAAGGCGGCTGGATGAAGCCAAGCACTGAAAATCGGATTTCTGATACTAGACAGGAGGCCAGGGCTCCACAGAAGCAGTTCACGCGTGAGGAAATCGAAAAACACGATAAACAGCATGACTGTTGGATCGTGGTAGATGGAAAAGTTTACGACGCAACGAGCGTTTTGGGGTGGCACCCCGGAGGCCCTGCAGCCATTCTCGAGCACGCAGGGAAGGTTCACCAAGATACTACGGATGAGTTCTCTTCTATACATGATGACTTTGCGATCCAGAAGCTGCAAGGTAAGATTTATATCAGATATTAACTAGTGTGTAATGCTGACAAGTTTTTCGAGAATGTGTCCTCGGAGTCGTTACAGAGAAGACCGCAAACTTTATCAAGAAGAACGCGGAAGCTGCTGCCAAAGAGACAGCGTTATCATCTGCAAAGGACGATCAAGTCATCCTTCAAAAACACAGATGGGTGCCTGTTAAGCTTATTAACCGCAAAGAAATATCTGCAGATTCGAGAATATATACTTTTGAGCTTCCTGGAAACAAGAGCGTACTTGGCATTAGCACTTGCCAACACATCTTTCTCGGTTTTCACCTTAGGGACTGAATGCTTATTCGCAGCTACACTCCTACAAGGCCTCTCTTGCCTGCTCTAAGCGACACCAATCCTCCCAGAGACCCATACAGGGACGGCGATGGAACCTTCGATCTGACTGTCAAGACCTATTTCGCCGATGAAAATCAGCCTGGAGGTGCAATGTCTTCCATCCTTGATTGCATTCCGCTTGGGGAAGAAGTGGAGATCCGTGGTCCGACAGGCGAGATTGTATATAATGGTGACGGCAACTTCATTATTGACGGCAAGGAATGCCACTTTAGCCGTGTTTCGTTGGTCCTAGGTGGTTCCGGCGTCACCCCTGGCTATGCTCTTGTCGCTCGCGTTATAATGACTCCCCAAGACAAGACTACGATAAGTCTCATTGACGCTAACAAGACAGAGGACGACATCCTTATGCGAGATGAACTAGACCAGTTCCGGCGGGAGTCCAGGGACAAGCTGCGAGTGACGCACATTTTGAGCCATCCTAGTGATAGTTGGAATGGGCTCAGGGGTCATGTGGATGAGGTCAAAATTAAGGACAATCTATTTCCACCGAGCGACGACTCGGTAGCCTTCTTGTGCGGCCCGCCAACAATGATTCAAAAGGCAGTTTTGCCAGTGTTGAAGGGTAAGTTTAAAACTCAAGGCCTAGTTTCACAATCAACGTCACTAATTTGCATCGCTCTAGAATGGGGCTATATTGAGGATGAGAATGTATTCGGATTCTAGTCCTTTTATATCACACAAAACGTACAGCACAGCTGTTTAGTTAATTGCAACACGGCTAGTCAAATATCTATTCGTAGCAGTTGGACGTTGGTCTTTCAAAAAGCAGCGAAACAGTCGCCACATGACACTGTCAATCTCTTGTTAGAAGGCGCAGACGAAATAATGTCAGCTACATAAGTCTCTTGATCCGGGTAAACTCTTTACACCTCCTTGCAGTAAGAGACAGTGACTCGCCTTACTATGCAGATTATAAACTTTAGTATTGGAGTTGACACACTGTGTCTGTTGTCTTCTGATTAGACTTGGCGGCACCATAGGCATAAAAGGCAATAAGTCTGTTAATATGGGCGGAAATTTCGGCGGGAAGTGCGTGCCAGAAGAGCGAGTTGAGTGTAAACCGAAACACACCAGGCTCAGCCTGCTACATGTGTGAGCTTCGATGCATGATAAACTGATTGTCAGGTCGGCTAGGCTGGATCTTATAGGGTCCAATTCATTTTAAGCGATGCACCATCAGAAGCTGACGATCTTGAGGGCCGCGCATATGGCAGGGCCGATTGTAGCGGCAGGCTGTGCACTCATATATGATCTCATGTCACGAATTAAGGGATGAATTCGAGATGGAGACTTGGTTGGAGAGCCTCACCCACCCATGAAACATGTACATGATTTTGACATGTTATTTAGTCCTTGCATCAATTTAGACTTGCATGTAGTTTTATCTGTTCTACGCTTCAACGACAGCATCACCTGGTCGACGCTTTATAGACATGCATCCTTAAGTTTTAAACTAGCTTGTGAGCTTCAAATTGGCAGCTAGCTGGCCCACATTAAGTCTGACGCGCGAAAAGAAGATAATACAATCACCATAGCAAGTCAGGGAGGTGCAAGAATCCAAGAGATATCTCGCGGGTCTATTGCTCTCATCTCATGATGATGAACAGGCGGATGAAAACCTGGGAAGACTGTAAGTTTGTGGGCATCCACTTTACTTTCTGGACTTTGCTTACGAAATTCGAGAACTTTTCGCCGGTGGTCTTCAATTCAGTAGATTGCTGGATCCAACCAAGGAATCGCATTCTGTCAGATAGCGAACATGCAATTTAGGTGTAAACGCAACCCTTGATTCATGCCCGGATGTATGATAGATAGCCTGGGTGCAGAATTTATGTTTGTTCTGGGCAACAAAAATTTAAAGTTTAATTTTAGAGTATTTAAATTTTAAAGCTCTGCGCCTTTATATATTGGCGACGCTAAATAAGCGAAAAAGAAAAAATAATAGCCAAGGTAACTGCTACTTGCGCATGTGCAAAAATTTCTTCCTGGGAAATAATAACAAGATTGACCGAGACAGGGGTCGAACCTGCGACCTTCTGATCACATAACAAGTATCAGCACTAAGTAGATACTATTCGTAGTCAGACGCTCTGCCATTGAGCTACACGGCCTGTTGCGTGGCACCAGTCGCGGCAAAATCTCTCTACAACTCTTCACATGCAAGGGCTATGCTTAATTCGAGAGTTACGACTTTGAGATATAATTTTCTTAGACTGTGTAGAAGTAGTGTTAATTAAAAGTATTAATATAAAATATATTGTGTTTTACTAGTTTAATCTGAGTCTAATATAGGGTAGGTTGCTATAAACTATATATACAATATTAGTATTGATTGCAAATAAAAGACCTGGACAAAGAATAAAGCAAGGGACTTTCATTTTTTTCCTTTCTCTTAAACTCTACGATTATCTTTAATAACTTATACATTTCCAGAAAGCTAAGGCTAGTCCTCTAAGGGTCTTGTAAAACCTATTTTATCCAGGAAAGATAGTAAATCAAAGTCTATTTTACTCGATAAAATATTATAGTACTAAATCTTAGAAAAAAATCTTGATTTTATAACCCTAATTTCTCGAATATGCCTCACAATAAGACTATTTCCTTGTCTTAAGAACAATTGACGAGACCTTTGCTCCCTCGGTTACACCATCTATCGGGCGCTCCAGTCCCCCTGATGTTGCACCGTACAGGACGATTTCTCCTCGACTCTCTCTTCCGATAGCCAGAGCACCTACACCTTGCAGTATAAAGTCCTTCAAACCCCCTGCCACAATTTTGCTCTCCCTGGTCTTTACGTCGGAGAAAATGACGGTGTTGTCCAAATTGGTGGCAGAATAGATATTTCCTTGACGATCAATGACAAAGTCATCCACGATGGTAGCAACACTCGACAGATTGGCAACTAGTTGAGGAACTGCATTGGGGACAGCCCATCCTGATTTCGTGAGGGGGACCTTGTAGACGGCAATCAAGTCGCTGTTTGTCCAATAGAGATGTGACTCGAAAATTTTGACGCCATTGACACCAGTCCTGAATCCTGGCGGTGCTTTCAATTCCTCATATGCCCATACGCCTTGTTGGAAATGGCCAGTGGAGACGTCAAGTCTACCGATGAGGCCGGTAAAACTGTCGGCAACGAAAACCACGCCGGGATATTCTTGGGAGCTTATGATGCCATTTGCTGAGACGCTGGAGGGGCCTAGGGCAGCAATCTTTTTGAGTTTGAACTTGTCGGAATGCTTATCCAAGAACTGCAGAGTGAATGCCTGATATTCTCCAGCGTGTGGGCTTTCGCCGTCGGTGAAATTACCGCCAAAAACCACGTAGGTCTCGAGGCCACCGATATCGTTGACTTGTGTAATGCCCACCGCGGCGTTGCTGCCAGGCAAAGAAGTGACGAGTTTGAGACACGTATGACGCGACTCTGGTCTCTTTACAGTCCAAATGTTGGACTGGGAAAGAAGCTGTGTGGCTAGAATTGCTCCGTTTGGGCGCACAAGAATATTTTCCAGCCATGTGCCGTTGGCAAGTTGCCCCAGGGTACGAATTTGAGGGGACGTGGCCAACACACCCGCTGCAAAATAAGTCGATAAAACTGTAGAGAAGAGCATTTTTGCGTGTATCCTTGCCACGTATGTAGTACTATGGACTCGATGAAGTGGCAGATAAGACACAACGCTGACGAGAGAAAAATGTATTCATTCTTAAAGGCTTGAAAGAGGGGGGGCTTGCTGTCGACCATGTGCCGAGTCTGGAGATACATCTCGCATGATGTCGGGTTACACAAAGTGCAAAAAGCACGCCTTGATTGCCAAGCATTGAATAAACTCTCGCGCCAAGAAGCTGAAAAAGAAAAATTCCAATACAATGCGAGAGAACAGTCTGGGCTCTTGGCAGTGACAGTACGATTGACCACATACCAACGTCTACGAGTAGTGCTGACAAGGCAATGCGCAGTCCGGGGTCTTACTAAGAGTCCCCTTTGGGATCAAGATGTCTGGATGGACATTCGCCACAGACGTCGGTTCGCCCTTGACATTATACAGATGGCGTGGTCATATCAGATGGTACCATGAGGAACTCTTGCCTCGCTGTTCCGCGTTTTGCCGGCCGCCTTGTCAGACCTAGTGCCGATTCTCCGATTCTCCGATTGGCCCATGCTAGCCGAGTAAAGTAAAAGACGTGCAGTTGCTTATGGACCAGCAAGTGATGGGACAATCTTGGTCATTTTCGTAGGGCGTCTCACCGCTGTATGCATGTGCAAATTCTTTTCCGACATACCGCTTCAGGCGTAGTCACATTATGTACAATTGTAGCGGACATGTAGTTACATGCCGCACAGTCTATGTGCATGGAACCCCATTATCTGCCAGTGCGGGTTAGGGTTATTATTGACAACGCAGCAACCCATCACTATACCACCATGGAATAAAAGTTACAACCGCTGTACTCAATTAGACTCTTTGGCAAATCATTTTCATGTCAAGGCTCCAGGTGGGGGGTTTCCGTAGAGGATTTCAGACGCGTAGAGGGTTAGTTGGGGAACGATTGCTTTTAACAGCATGCCAATGGGCTACGTCATTCTGCCTTGTCACCTGTGTGACGATACTAGTCAATTACAACTTTATTTTATGGCCGTTACATTTTCTAAAATACTACAACTGCCACTCCCACCACTGCGACTTTCTTTATTTACCCGCTCGGTCCCCACGGCTCTCCCACAACTTATGAGCTGTGCTGTGCCATATGTAAAATCAACGCCTTCCATCTTATTCAAGCAGACGTGGCGTCATGAATGCTCTTAGCACATCGTTTGAAATTCCTTGGCGGTTCGTCTTGAACTTCCTGACAGTCTTGATAATGACGTCGGTGAGAATCTCACGCAGTTCAATGCTAAGCAATTGATGAGCCCGGTGCTTGGTCTGAATCGTGGCCAGCTCTTCATCATCCTCTAGGAAGAATCGGAGCCATTCGAGCGCCACGTCCATGCTCTTCTGTCCTATTGGGAAAGCCGCAATAATCTTCTCTCGCACAACGTCATCCTCGTCCGTCAGGTAAATGGCAGATGTTTTCACCGAGGCCGACATTTTCTGGTCGGCGCCTTGGAGAGAAGGCAACAAGCTCGAATACAGGAATGAAGGCGCAAGCTCTCCAATCTTTCCCGCGTGCTTGCGTACCTCGGCGAAATACCCGTCAATGTCGTATGAACACGGGATTAGGCACGGGATACTTCTCAGGCTTGCCTTGTCGGCAACCAGAATACCAGGAAAGGAGGATGCAAAGCACCCGGCCGACTGTGTAGAGCAGCAGTAGAACATGCCGACATTGTGGTCGTCGGTGAATCCCAGCGCTTCCTTGATGCTGCTGACGGTGATGTGGCGCGCAATGGATATAATGTTTTGATAAAAGGCTCCGCCGATATAATCCATGTTGGAAAACATGAACGTCTTGGAGAGGTCAAAGCCAAAGGCTAAAATATCCGTGGCATTGGCAATGTCATACTTGCGCACCTCTTGGATGGGAAGGTCCTTGTCATGGAGAATTTTCATGTCATCAGTGAGCATGAGAATGAGTTTTGCGCCAAGAGTCTCTTGAAGCCATCTGCGTTATCGTGTAAGTGCGGTCACAAGGTAGATGCAGCTCATATCCCGTGTTTGGGGTACGTACTGGGTGAATTCGAATGGAATTGAGTGTCCAAGATGCAGGCTGTCGCTGCTGGGACCTCGGCCCGTGAACAGATATATTGGCAGGCCGCTCTCATACCGATCAAGGATGAGATGGAGATCTCGGTGGGCAAAGACAATGCCCCGTCTAAGGTAACGATGAGGTTTGCGACCAGTTAATTGCGTAAATCGATCTAGCAGCTGCTGATCAACTCTTTGGGCATGGCTGGTTTCGATGAAATCGTCATGTTTTGCATTAGTTGGAGCATTGAGAATGGCTCGATCTGCTTTTGCGAGGGGTGCGCCATTGAGCTTGGTGGTGGACAAGACATCCACCAGCCTCACATATGCGCCGTTGGGGGTTCCACGAGATGCCGCCATATCTGAAAACTTGGGGAGCGTGCAGACAGTGGAAAGTCGGTTGGTTGTCAGTAATGGTCAAGTGGTTTTAACGCGGTCCTGAAACTAGGAAAGGTTTGCTTCAAGGTCCAAGACTGCACACAGCTCCAGGCCTCGCCGGCTTGCTGAATAATCCAACATATTATATCAATCTATTCAAGAGGTGTCCGTGTGACGGGTTCTTGTTCGCTTGATGACAGGCGAGTTGTGAAGCCAAAAATCCCTTGCACCGGCTATGGGTCCAGTTGCGTGACATCGTCCCCTTGTTGGTGCTTACGAGGTAAGACGAAGCGAATAAGTATGTCAAAGTACCATTCTTCAAGGATGCGAAAGAAGTGGTGGTGGACCGTAATGGGTGTGTGATTATCAAACCAGATTACCTACGGTCTGGTACGTGAGCTTGGACAGGCTTGGGTTTGCAAGCTCTGAGTGAAATGACGAAATAAAATACTTCCGTGCCAAGCGTAATTAGCGCATGCTCGTTGAATGCATACATAAGCAGAAGCACGAAAGAGTCCCCAAATCAAGGATAGTGGTGACCGAATCCGAGACTAAAAGCGCCACAACTAACAGAGGGTGCAGACTGGAATTGTCACAGCGAGCTTACGGCTGACAGCCTCGAGCACCTAGGAGCGCCAAGAGGGCCATTCTGCCCCGTAGCAACTAGACGATGAACGGTCTGCTATACCATTGGGAAGCTGTATAAGGGACGGGCCGTAAGCGCCACTTGGGCTCATGTGAGTCAAGTTTACCTGTTTAAACCCGCCGGCACGGCACAACGCCATTCGCCCGGGGCGGTTGCCTTGACAGACCTCCACACAGCTGAAAGCTTTGTCGAGACTTCGGAGTCGTCGGGTAAGCGCTGCATCAAGAGGCCGACGACAGGGTCCAGGGTACCTAAAAGTCTATTCGGATATTGCCTATCTGATGGGCAGATCAACAGCGAGGATTCTTGTTGTATACCAGAGTCCATATTGCATTCATGCTAAAATATTACATAAACAACTAGCTTGAGAGCAATACGCTCCACGTCTCGCTTACAGGAGGAGTCATACTGATTCGAAGCACCAATAGACATCAATGCCTCCTGTCCCCCCACTCACAGGAAGGATTAAGCTTTTGCTAGTCGATCAAATCAATTGATGGTTTGCCGCAACCCGCTTTTTGCGGCAAAGGAATAGGGCCTGGTTTGTGGCACCTATCAATGCATGCGCCCGGCCGCGCCCGCGACTCTGACATGAGACTCGTGCTTTGGTGGCAATCGTGGTCAGCAAGGGCGGAAACTCGCCGTTGACGAATCTGAAGCCCCTTGAGCCACTGCCGTGCAATCTCTTCGGCAGGTGATGCCAGGCACTGTCGACTCCAACGGCCCTCGGCCGGACCATGAGCCGAGCCAAGCCACACTGAGCCGGGGTTCGTGGACTCCGTATCCCGTACAAACATGTAATCCAGGGGAGAGTAATCCCGATTGCCAATGGATCTGACCCTGCTTTGGCTGGTCGCCTGGGCACCCAACCGTGGCGCTGATTACGGCTGTCAGAGCCGGAGAGGTCTCTTGATTAGACACGGAAATGGCGCGGGGCCGAGACTGGTTCGATGGACTTAAGCTTAATAATGCATTGCTTAGCATGAGCACTGCATATGTACAATGCTCTGGAGACGGACTTAAGAGTGGAATTAACGATAAAGGGGCTTGCTGCCCATCCAGTCTCAGGCCCGGAACGGAGTGGGCGTGTTCTTGTAAAATTAGGTTTAGTGATTATAATCTACTTACGGTAAGGGGTATATAAGCGTGCCCTATGAGAGCATCAAATTCACACGACTTAGATCCAGACAGCAAACAGAACAAGACGCTTCAGCATCCAGTCATGGCGCCATCACAGCTATCCCCGGCCATTCCCAACCACACCAAGACCTCCAAGACGGTTGAAACCCGTCTCTTCATCAACAATGAATTTGTAGAGTCTGTTTCTGGCAAGCGCTTCGATGTCATTGACCCCTCCACCGAGAAAGTCAGCGCTTCAGTCTACGAGGCAGACGTCGAGGATGTCGAACTTGCCGTCCAGGCTGCCAAAGCTGCTTTTCCCGCCTGGTCAGAACGAAACGCTGTTGAGAGGGCCCATTTCTTGAACAAGTGGGCCGATGCCCTGGAAAAGGCCGCCGACGAAATTTCCTATCTTGATAGCATCACCATGGGCAAGCCAGCCTTTCCTGATCGACTGGCCCCCATGGTACCCATCATAATCCGCTTTTTTGCCTCAAAGGCCCTCGACATTACAGGAGAAAGCTCGCTCAACACGGCCGGCTTTCTCAACGTTAGTCTTAGGCAGCCATATGGCGTTTGCGCCGCCATTACCCCGTGGAATGCCCCCCTCATGATGCTGGCATACAAGGTCTCGGCCGCCCTCATCACGGGCAACACCCTTGTCCTCAAATCGAGCGAAAAGTCCCCGCTCAGCTCCCTCGTGGCGGCCAGATGCGCTTTGGAGGCCGGCTTCCCCCCTGGCGTGTTAAACATCCTCAGTGGCTACGGCCGTCCGTGTGGCGAGGCGCTGGCACGGCACATGGAGATTCGCAAAATCTCCTTCACAGGAAGCACTGCCACCGGCAAGGCCATCCAGCGAGCCGCAGCCGAGACCAACTTGAAGAGTGTCTCGCTTGAACTAGGCGGCAAAAGTCCGCTCCTCGTGTTTGACGATGCCAATCTGGAAAAAGCCGTTAGCGCCGCCACCATCTCGATCCTCATGAACTCTGGCCAGGTATGCAACGCCACCACGCGCATCTATGTCCACGAGAAGCTCGCACAAGATTTCATTGGCGGCATTAAAGCCGCCATGTCTGCCATGGGGGCGAGCGGTAATCCCCTGCACGAAGGGACCATGCGCGGCCCCCAGGCTGACAGGGCGCAATTTGAGCGCATCTTGTCTTACCTTGACCTCGCAAAGCAGTCTGGTGTTTCCATAGCTTTGGGAGGAAACCGTGAATCATCTCCCGGATACTTTGTTGAGGCTACTCTTCTCACTGATGTGCCTGAGGATTCAAGGCTTGTCAAGGAGGAGATTTTCGGTCCTGTGCTTATTGTCAACCGCTTTACTGATGAAGAAGACGTCTTACAACGTGCCAATGACACCGAGTACGGTCTCTGGGCTAGTGTCTTTACCAATGATGTAAGCCGGGCCATCCGCGTGGCCAAAAGGTTGGAAGCTGGAAGCGTAGGCGTTAACTGTACATCGCCGGTATTAGCCATGGACATGCCGTTTGGAGGGTGGAAGAGCTCCGGACAGGGACGTGAATTCAGTCGATACGCGACTGATTATTGGACGGAGCTTAAGACTGTGTACTTTGCTTACTGAATTACCACTATTCTAGACTAGTTGTTGTTGTAGTTGTTGTCGTATTATAGATTGCTTCGGCCAACCCGACCATCTACATTCCTAAACGTGTAGCAGGTCTACCTGCTGGTGGCAATATAGTCTCTTTAAACGAAATCTCCACTAGGCCTAGAATAACCTTCTGTATGACCGCATATGCACTTGTGGCTCTCGCCCTGACTAGACGCCCAACAACGGGGGGATCACATAGTCTGGCTTATTCACGAATGCCAGTGACATGTTTGGCTTCTGACTTTCGGCCGCAGCTTCTACAGTGCGACCATTGATGTCCGTGTTCCCACCTCCTGCCTAAACCGATTTCGTCTCAGGCTGATGCGAGATCCGTCGTGTTCATGCCCCGGTATAATCCTGCTTTAGTACGCCTGCCAACAGCGCTGGTTGATTCCTGGAAGGAGAAATTCAACCAATTGTAAGAACAGCCGGACACACCTAAAAGCTTCTGTCGTACACATCGTTTGCGGCTGAAGCTTAACTGGATGTATCGAACATAATCTGCCGCAACTAGCCAACGACAACGCGCGTCGTGGCCCCTTTGGGAGCGGATATTGCGCCATAATCTTGTTCATTGCCGCTCCGACGGAACCCGAAGTCGTCCTCTACCGATGTTGAAAGTTCCTCCGATCTTGTGTAAGACTGACCTGCAGGCATGATTGACTAGTTGTGGTGATCTTGGTTGACATGCAAGCTGTACGTTGCCAAGGGGGTCGACGGTGATCTAGGTGCGTCTCACTGCCTGTCGATGCTACCTAGGCACATGCCACGAGGTTCTAAATAACGTGGGCGTTAATAAATATGGAAAATTCTGGAGGTCACTACCACCCTCAGAGTTACATTCACGTGGTTATATCTGCTCCGCATTTCAACTCTATAACTCGAGCGTGTTGCTACTATACAATTCCATCAAGTACACCTTTTTTGTCAACTCCAACTTAACCGGCTCTAAACTTACAAGAGTTTTTACTACATTTGTATACTTCAACATGTTTCCACTTCCCGCAGCAACCATCACCACTTCTCTGCCACACGATGTCCCAGTGGCAGAATCATTTACGCTGCCTCAACATGGCCCGATCGACACTCCATGGTTGACGGAAGAGCTCAAATATTTCGAGACATGCCTCCTTGTTCTCGATGTGCTCGAGTCATTTGGGACTCACATTAGCAAAGACCCGGCTTCCCCCTCGGGCAGATGGGCTGGCAAGCCCAAATTCCTTGGACATGTATATCACTGGGTCAGAAAGAACGAACCCATCCAGCTTACAATGCCGGCATTTCCATGCAAGAGTGTACGCATTTTATCTCTGCCATTATCAAATATCTTGATTCTTGCTAACGGTTTTATCTCACAAGGCCAACCGCGAAAACAAGGTCCTGGGTCACTTGCCCGATCTCGGTGAGGAGCTTGGTATGAGTCGCTTGAACGACATAGCTGTTGCCATTAAGAACGTCTACCAACCTGGTGCCTTGGTAAATATCGCGTCTGACGGTATTTTATTTAATGGTGAGTTCGATATTAATCCCCCGGGAGAAACTTCGTTATTAACCCACCACAGACATCATCGGTGTTAGTGACGAGGAGACTTGGGAGTATAGCGAAGAACTTCGCGCCATTGCCAAAGAGAAAAAACTCGACTACATAGTATTCCTCTATCCTCAGGTTTTGATTGGCATGATGCCCGCCAGTGAGATGACTCGGGAGAAATACATCTCGACGGCTGATGAGTGCCGTGCCTTGCTCGAAGCTCAACACGGAAGCACCCTCAAGGAGATTGAAGCTCTCATCAAGTCCGACTCGGACACTAATTCAACGTACTGTGGCATGGTCAAGTTTCTACAAACAGAGTTATTTGGCGCTCTGGCCGGCAAGAGCTACCGTGAACGACAAAAACTACAAAAGAACTCGGCCAAGAAGATGATGCAGCGGTCGGAGGCATTTACACTCGCCATTCGTACTAATCGGTCCTTGGATGTTCGTCTGTCAATGCATCCCTCGTCCGGAGTGGCCAAGCTTTCAGTGGCCCTTGTTCCGTCACCAAAGGGCTTTTTCCAACGATCACCCTGGCACAGCTGTGTTGCTATTGACAGCGAGGGCGGCTACCACTGTGTCCATTCTGAAGAAGTCCGGGAGACGCATGAGCTCATGTACAAGGATAACCGACCATACTTTTTCATTGCCAAGGATGCCGTCCAGGTCGACAAGCCAGAAACCGTGACGGTTGTTGAGGCTGCAAATGCTGAGGCTGTTGTGGAGAAATCGGAAGTTCCTGCGGCTCCTCCGGCTACTGCGGCTCCTGCAAAGGCAGAACTTGTTCCGGTTGTCGAAAAGGAAGAGATTGTGACGGTCGTCGAGAATCCTGTTCCCACTGTTATTGAAAAGCAGGAAGCTGTGATGACGTTCACGAAGGAACAAGTTATTGCTACAACTACCGAAATTCAGGAAACCGCGACGTTTATCGAGGAGCAGCCTATTGCTACAATTCCTGAAAAGCAAGAGGATGTGACAGTTATTGAGGGGCAACCTATTGCTACAATTGCTGAAAAGAAAGAGGTCGCGACGATTGCTCAGGAGCAACCTAGTGCTACAACTACCGAAGAGAAGGAAGCCGAGACGTTTATTGAGGAGAAATCTATTGCTACATTTACGGAAAAGCAAGAAATCATCACGATTGTTGAGGAGCAAACTACTGTTACGTCCAACAGTCAAGATGCCGCGACGGCTCCAGACAGCAAGCAAAATGTCGTAGAGGCTGACGCCGAAATTCCGACAGCTGACCCTAAACTTCCATCTAATATGCTGGATGGTGAGTCATTTCCGTCAGCTGCTGTCTTGGCATAGTCTCGTGACTGAAAGATGAAACCATCCGAAAGGAGGTAGAAGGATATTCGTCATTTTGCTGGTCGCCACCATAGTAGCTAGTATACCAACTATATTAACAGGGAAAAAGGCGCGGGGCTGACGTGTAGTCTAGAGATATTTAGCAATACTTTGGAAATCATACGATATGGTACATGAATTGGAGTTTTATTTTATTTTTTATTTTTTTTATTACAAATACTAAACGGGCATGGGCTCTGCGTGGCGCCATTTACTGAGCCGTCTCAGGACATTACAAGAACTAGACAGAAATTGCACACGGATTAGCATGGGTATTTTTAGATGGTTCGGAATAAATTAGCATGATCTGACAAGGCCGTCTTTCTAACATGGAAAGTGTTTAAGGCATCACAAACTACTCCATGTAAAGCCATTCTGTAAACATGTTTGAATCTATGAATTACCGCGAAGCATGTGTAAACTCTACATCATAGATACTCTATCACGCCATTCGCTGCAAGCAAAACTTTTCTGGTGGCTGTGGCCCTGCGCTCGACCAGCCCTCTATACCTTGACCATTTTAAACCCAGCTTTCCAAGCTCTGACTATGATAAACAAGGCACTTGAGACCAAACATGCGACACCACCGAATATCCAGAGACCGTTAAAATTATCGCCGCCGGCACTAGCAAGTATGCCACCACCGCCTGGCCCGCCGACAAAAACGCCCAGACCAATGATGCCAAATGCCATGCCCATTCGTGTACCAATCTTGGCGCGGTCTTGGGTGAGTCGAATAATGCAGACTGGAGGCAGAGCGATGAATATACCCGAGAAGAATCCAAAGAGAATCGCTAGAATGACGACGCTGGCAACGGACTTTGCACCAAGCATGCCAAAGATGATGACACTAACAACCACAGCACCTGGACCGATGAGGTTGAAAGCCCCGGTCTTGTCAGAAATTGCGTTGGGAATGGTGCGCCCAAAAATGGAGGCTGCGTTGAGAATCGTCACGATATAAAATGACAGAGCCGTCGACGTGATGTGCCTGGCCTTGGTATAATACGACAGATAGAAGAACATGGTATAGAGACCCATGAAGCCAATCAGAGTGGCCAGGGTAAAAACAAGAAAGGGCCAATCCGTTAGGGCAGAAGTATCGAGTAGAGCACGCGCCTTGGACGGCTTCACACGCATCTTCATGACCAAGTTGGGGATGGAGAGTGTGGCCAAGGCGATGAAGCCGAGGACGCGGACGCTCCACCCAAAACCAATGTCGTTGATGAGCTTGTAGAAAACAACGGGATAGATCATGCCACCTATACTTGATCCCGAAGCTGCAAGGCCAATGGCGAGGCCGAGTCGCGTGTTGAAGTAGGTGGGCAAAATGGCCACGGCGGGCACGTAAATGAGGCCCGACCCAAGACCAATACACACGCCTTGGGCCAGGACGACTTGCCAGTAATCAGTGGCTAGACTTAGCATCATGTTGCCAAAGACGACCAGAAATGACCCAACGAGCAGTAGAGCCCGTAGGTGTCCACGATCGTAAATGGGTCCGGAGAGGAAGCCCGTAAACAGGACGAGAAAGGCCTGGATGGAGCCAATCCACGAGATGTTGGACGAAGTCTGTGTGAATAGAGTGCCGGAGCTGTAAAAGGTTTGAAAGGCTCCAAACGTGTTGAGGATGCCCCAGGTGTTGAAGTACAGCATAAACGCTCCGAGGACGTGTAGCCAAGCCTGGACGCCGCCATTGGGGATATCGGTCGCGGGATCCGCAGGTGGCATTGGCGGCGGCGATGGCGGGAGCGTCTTTTCCTCATCATCGCCAGAGATGTCGGGTGTTTTGATAGTGTCTGCAGCCATGGCGGCGATGGTTTGCGCAACAAGACGTTTGGCTCGGTGAAGGAGAATCTACTCGTGTGACCGACGAGATGCTTGCATGTGGTGGTTTGGCACTCTTGTGGAAGAGCACAGCAAGGAAGGAACAAAGCCGCCAAGCAAAGAAACTGACAAGATGACGCAAAGGGAAAAAAAAAAAGAGACAAAACGCCCGCGGCGAGGACGTGGCGAATTAGTCAGATTTGATTCACTCAACAGCCCTGCTTGTGCAGTAGCTTGAAATGAGGTCGACGCTCAATGTAACCGCGCGGGCTATTCGGCCGTAAGAAACCCCATATTTTCTCCGTTCCCTCCTCCTTGCCCATTTCGATGCGAGGATGACAGGGCCCAGATAATAAGCATTCGACGGGGACAATTGCCAAGGACCAAAGGGCCCCGACCGGCTGAATGTACCTCCCGTGTACTTTGGAATCTGACCGTGATGGCCACACGCCTTGCATTTTCGCTTCCCTCACCCCCCGAGCAGATCGATGCTAAACTTCGAGTACTCAGTTGATTATTGCCTCAAGTGGGCTGTTGTTGAAAACCGCCAGACTCAAGTGCGCCAACGCGAGCAGATGGCTCGGACATGGAATTAGCAGCACTCCATGCAGTCAGCAATGAGGACGGCTGCAGGGATATCATGGCGCAATACGGCGCAAATCGCATGTTTTGCCGCCGAGGCTCGTCAGCTGCTTTGGGTAGTGGCCGGTTTGAAGCCATGAGCTTTTTGAAGCCATGAGCTGACATGGCTACTTGCTTCCTATGCGAGTCCGGCAAGGCCATGATTTAAGGGCACTGAAACACAATTATGCCTGCCAAGTGTGTCTTAAGCGCCTCCCAGTCTTGTACGACGTAGACCAAACTCGTTCCGCCATGGCTGCTTCCAATCTACCGCCCGAGATGGCGAATGGCGCGCCTTCGCAAACCGCCGTCAACCCCAACCTGCCGCCTGCTACGGCCAGTCTCTCGTACTGGCAGCGAACTACACGAGCATTCAAGTACTTGAATCACAATCAGACAAACACTCCCCCCGCCTCTACTACGTATGCCATTATCGGCTCCGGCTTGGCAGGAGCCTTGGTAGCATACAATCTCCTCGAACGCGGCGTGCAAGGCGAGGAAATCCTCATCCTCGAAGCTCGCGAGGCCGTTTCTGGATCGACTGGCCGCAATGCCGGCCACGTTCGACCAGATGCTTTCCGCAACTTCTCGGGCTATCAGGCCTTCCATGGCAGCGAGCAGGCATTAAAGATTGTGGCCACCGAGGAGACCAACTTGAAGCGCATAGCTGCCTTTATTCAGGACAAGCAGATCCAATGCGACTTCAACTTGACCACCACATTTGACGTGTGCCTGGGGCCCGATGCCGTGGAAGATGAGGAGAAGAATATTAAAGACTATCTTGACGCCGGGGGCAATCTGGCCAGCTTGGGCGTCAAATGCTGGTACGGAGATGCCGCCGCGGAAAAAAGCTCGTGTCCAGGCGCCTCGGCTGCGTATGAATGGCCGGCTGCCTCGATTCATCCCGTCAAGCTCGTCCACTGGGTTCTCGAGCACGTTATTGAACGGGGCGTTCAATTATGGACGCATTGTCCGGTAGACGAGATACGAGAGGACGGCGCCAAACTTGGTGTGCAAACCTCACGGGGCGTCATCTCGGCAGACAAGGTGGTTCACTGCACCAACGCATTCGCCGGAGGTATCCTGAGCCAATTGACGGCTGAGAGACTCACGCCGTTTGCGGTCCAGGTCGCCTCTGTCATTCCCTCCTCGGCGGCATCTGGAGACAAGACCTTCAAGAGCACCATGGCGCTGCGAGAAAACGCCCGCATGTTTTACGGTTTCGCTCAGAAGCCGTTGGATGGAACCATCATTGTAAGTGTCGGTAGGCCTGTTGGCAAAGGCGTCCAGGCCGAGGAGTCACATACGCCCCAGGTCGCAGAAGAAATCGTCCAGAGGATATCCAAGCTTATTGGGCCGAATGATGAGCCACAGAGATCCGGGGAAGGTTTTGACACGACGTGGACCGGCCTCATCGCGTTCACGCCGGACAAGGTGCCATATATAGGCGAGATTGATGAGTTGCCTGGGCAATACATCTGCGCCGGCTTCAACGGTCACGGCATGGCGAATATTTTTACCTGCGCCGGAGGCATCGCCGGTCTCTTGTTGGGTAGACCGTGGGAAAGCACGCAGCTGCCAGAATGCTATCGTTACAGCCAAGCGCGGCTGAGTAAAAGTGCCTAGTGAATTAGTGAAGATAAACATAATACACCCACTGTTTGTATACCATGATAGAAGACGCTGGGTTCGCTTTTGAGATGGTGTTGTAGTTTTTGGCCAGCGTGGATTTGCTCTTGTCCAGCCACTTGGGAAGTCTTGCACCGCCTGTTCGAAAGTCAACAATATTCAACGTCGCCCAAGAAACTGTTCCAAAACCTCGGGGAATAATGGGACGTTGACAACATATTCTTTCATTCAGACATCATTCATTTGACAATGACGGCTAGGGTTGACAGCAGTAGAACCTAAACTTGTCTATGAAGGTGAAAAGAGCACCGCTCTACTGCGGCCATGGGGTTTCGTCAACACGATACAGAAGCTTGTATCCACTGATCCTGCCCTCCTTCATGTCCTTCATGCCATCAAGCACCCCAACCAGACCACCAGACCTGACTTCACGTGGGTGTTCGGTCCATTTGCCCTCACCCCAAAGCTTCTCCACGACGGGGAAGAACGTGGTGGCAAACTCGTAGTATGTAGGCTGCGCTTCCCAGTGCTTGCCCTCAAAGATGTACTTCTCGCCCGTGATACCGTAGACGAGGAAGAAGATGGACTCGACATCCGAGCGGGGGGCGTCGTGCTCTCCCAGGAGGTTCACGTAGGTCCCTCCTTTGCTGCTGAGTGCCTCGGCGCTAATCTTGGCAGAAGACTCCTTGCTGACGGTATCCAGAACCTTGATGAGCTTGTCGTCGGTCGCCTTGCGAATGTCTTCTCCCACGGTCGGAGAGTGCTAGGCTAGAATTAGCAATCGTTTACAAGGACAAAATGCCAAGGCACAAAGAATGGACCATCATACATAGTCAAATACCAAATCGGCGCCACGGCTCTTGGCAAGGTCGAAATGCTTGGGCGACGCGGTTGTAATGACGGTGTATCCAGCCCTGAATAAATTAGCTTTCAAGATTCGCACCGCGCCATACATGTATGGAACTTACATCTTTGCAAACTGAATGGCAATTGTTCCAGTGGCAGTTGAGCCTCCATAGATCAAAACAGTCTTGTTATCGTCTTGGCTCGCTTTGGCGGTTTGGATGGCTTCGAGTCCCGGGAATGGTATCGAGAGGAACTTGAACAATCCAAGGCCCATGGTGCCGACAGCACAGGGTATAGATGCGGCCGCCTCCCATGGTACGTTGTCGGGAACACGTATGACTGTATCGCCCTTGTTTATAATGAATTTTGCGAATGCTCCCGTCTGCGGTCTAGCATCATTCCCTATTCCATTGCATACATGTTAGCCTTCCCGGGACAGCCCTAATAAATGACGCCCATATATCGTCTAAAAGAAAGTCGTCGTTGGCATAAACTCGACTCACCTCCGTGAGCAAAGCCCGCGACCCTGTCGCCTTTTTTGAATGCCTTTTTCACTTTTGGCCCAATTTCTTCGACTGTTCCTGCCCAGTCACATCCGACCAGCGTGCCATCATCACCCGGGGCATCAAGCGTTGTCCAGTCAGTAGGATTTACAGCCACCGTAACAACGCGAATAAGCAGATAGTCATCGGGTAATGTTGGCACGGGGATGCGCTCAAACGCCGCTACACCGGTAGCCTTGCGAATCAGTCCGTAATTGGTTTCACTGATGGCCATGATGTACACTTCGCCAAATTCAATCGAGGTCAAATTTAACCAAGTAATTCATTCACGTGTCGGCCGTCAGATGGGAGAGGGGCAAAAAGTACGATTAAATACTTTCAAAATAAAGTTGGAATTCTTAATTTGTAAGCACTTGCTGTTGTTCATGTCGTTGCGTCAATGTACTGCATTAGATCGGCGAGCTGAAGCCAATCGCCGAGGCCGCCGAGGGGAGCATTACATGCAGATCCTTGTTTTGCGCTCACGAGTGGGTTGTAGTGCGGGGTCTGGTCGCATAATATATGGTGTCTGATTGAAATAAATAAGAATTGATGTAACACGAGGTGGAATGCATTTGCCAGCAGTTCCATCGTTTGCTCTAGACCCCCCCAATCCACGCCCCAGTTGGAACATTGGGCTCAGAGTTAGTGCTTACATTGCTTGGACGGGCCGCCAAGAACTGGTCTAGGTTCCATGTTGTCTCGGGGTCTCTGAGCCGCCTAAGTTGCTTGGTAGAATTGGAGCAGTCGTGTCAATGTTGCAAAAAGGGTTACTGCATGGCCAAACGTTGGGTGCTCGACCCTTCCCGCGTTGGCCAACATTGTCGAGCTTATCGCCTAGTATAGCAATCATATTACGCCATGCTGGAAAGCTGGCATCTCATGCAGAGAGTAACGTAGTCACTTATCTGGACGCAAGCCGACTCGGCCGGTCAACATGGTGCTAAAAACACCGCGGCAGAGCACAGAAGCAGCATGTCAGCAAGTATGCGAGGCGACTGTTGAGACTCATCAAGATGTTCCGATACAGGAAAGCATACTGGCCCAGACGGCAATGAAGTTGAGTCCAACTTTTCTCTCTTGACAAGCACTACATCAGCCAGATAGTAGACTACGATCAATTTAGTCTTGTATACATAGCTTCTATATAGAGCATTTAAAGGCGGTTTCATTTCTTATTAATACTCTAAATAGACACCGCCTCTCAAGCTCCAAGGTGTGTTCTAAGAGAAATTGTGGTGTATAAACAGGCAAGCTTTGAAGAACACCAAGGTAGCGAGAAAATCCGACGATGCTAAATGACGTTAAAAATTATTCCCAACTCCCACTTATATCTTCTCAGCATTTATCTTGTTGTGCTCGTCGTAGAGTAGCGTGACACTATTTGGTACCCACCCCAATAATTCCTTCGTAGCGCAAAAGAGATACTGTAAATACCGCCGCACTGACACCTTGGCCCTATCGTGGTTGTAGCCAAATCTGCCTTGCCTCTCCCCAAAGAGTGACAGAACTTGCCATCGACGAAGTATCGACTTGCATTTTGGACATGCCTGGGGCTCTGTACCGTCGTGATAGCGGGTATCTAGCCTGTTAACCAAGAAGATCTTATGCAGACACGTAATCAAATACGTGCCAAACTATGCTTAGATTGGTCACCGCTGATGTGAGTCCTACATCCCAGGCAGTCAAACCAACGGCATCACAACAACAAACCCCAGGAGAGGTAGGGGGTGTGGAAGGATAGTTTGCCCAACTCATGTTAGGTACAATAAATTGTTGATTTGGAGGGCTCGATCAGCTTATCCGGCACTCCTTCTACCGTGTGATCTTACATGATAGTTACTGCGTTTTTTTAGATTCCTCATCAATAACGTCAGCTCATTCGTCGGTTCTTCTATATGTGATGATAATATATATGATAGTGTATAGAAACCACCCGGTAATCCAACAAGGACAGGTTGTATCGCTCCTTGCAGTAAAGAAAGGCAGACTTAAGCCGCGTTAAGGCATAATAGGGTAATATAGACGAGGTTCTAGATGGAATCACCTTTAGAGGTTACACAGTATATATGTGACATATTCTACTTTGCTTAAAGTGGGAAATAGACGCATGCTTCGTTACGCAACCATAATTGTAAGACAGCACGCGGCAAGCATGGAACTATGATACACGTGAGTACCTAGGCAGTGCTCTAATACTTAAAGAACTCATTCCCCTTGCTTTTTATTAGAAATGCTCTCTACTCAGCAATAAACGCTTGTCCTGGCTTTCTTTGTGCAATCATAAAATGTCTTTCCGCATCAAACAGGTTGCTACTAGGTCGCGGGGTACTTATGGCAGTCAGCCAATGCATTTCCCCGATATCGAAGATTCAGACTCAGAGTTCGAGACCAACTCAAACTGCTCCCGTGCTCAGGGGAGGTCACTATCCCCTGAGCTTCACCGTACGCCTACTAGCGGGGAAGATACAGCGATGGCTAATTCTTGTTGTCATAATGCTGACGACGTCAACACGAAGAAGGACGATAACCACTGCGACGATAACCATGATGACAATTATATTTCACATTCAGAATCAGGATCTACTCCAGATACACGCTCAGCATGCCACGTAGCTCGACTCTCACAGGGCCTAATTACAGACGGAAGTATCGAAAATACGACGGCTAAAGTAGAGAGAGGTGGCAAAATCAGGAAGGAACGTGGACTGAAAAAGGGCGAGAAGTTGAGACGCAAAGGACTACACCTGTTGTGATGTCCAAAAATCGCAATTTGACCCTGGCATTAGGAAGGAAGTAGGTGGCGAAAAGTACCAGGGTGTTATTATGTAAAGACAATCACGGCACATATTACTGCGGTTGGTTTTCTGGCCGTTTGCCTGTTTTAACTGGCTTGAATCTAAGCTGCGTGGCCTTTACCTCGACGATATCGGAGTAGATCTACTCAAGGCGTGCCAGTTAGCGTGACCAGCTCGATAGACCAACGTAAGAGTCACTTAGGTACACGCATAAATAGTTGACGCCTTTCCCGCTATCGGTTAAAACTCTGTCTTCTACACTACACCCCGAAAGAAGTCAGATTCTCACTACTCGCTGTGTTCTACTTTGCCCAAACATTTCGAAGGCTTTGCAAACTAAACTAGCCATAATAGTTTATTGTGGCCACTTAGGAGTCAAGCGGCATTTTATTTCTGCATTGAACCTTTTGTTCAGCTTCCTTTTGAAATTACTACAAGAGCTGAATACAACACACTAAGACTATATTGCATCTTGCTTGATAGTCTCGAAGCCAAGACGTAAACCCTACCTGGCTTTCCAAGTGGTTATTGGTACGCCACCCTTTCTATGCAGCACTAGTAGGAGAGGGATTTGGGTCTGTTTATTTCTACTTCTCCGCCAACTAAATAACCACAGGCCACCTAGTGGTTAGGCAGCTTGACGCCTGTTATGATGAAGTCTTTACAATGCATACTATAACACTAGCTGGTCAAGTAACCTAAAATGGCCCTATACGAATTTCCTTGGAGGTTAACTCAAGATTGCTAAGTGGCACAGCCTTCCGATTTCAGGGTTACGGTCGAACTGAGCTTTCGGCTATTACCTATCAACAAAGCTCTACCAATCTAACATAGACTTTTTGCAAAGCGACGTTTTTGCTGTACGCAATAGAATGGAATTCGGCCTGAATCTATCGATATCTCTCAGTAGTACACTCGTAACAGGACACAGGGCAGTAATAAGGACAACGGGTTGACACAGAGCATCAACGAGGAGTACCGATCACTTGACGCAATCGACCGAGGAGGGTTTTCTTTTGTATAGTAGACATGGCTTCAGTGGCTTGAATTTTATTCATTACTTTATTTTCTGTTTTTGTTTCAAGGAAGCATGCAACAGTAATGGCAATCATTCTCAGAGGCTAAAGAATATACAAGCCGAGTCAAAGAGGTCGCGACATCGAGACGCCCATCGGCGATGGTGAGCACCAGTTTCGGCCAATTTATCAGTAGAATTCATTCGACGAGAGGAAATGTCGGTTAGAATCTTTTCGAATATAACACAGAGGTCCATCGAAGCAGATTATTGGTCTTCCGTTAAGTCGCTGTTTGGGGAGAGAAGGTGGTAATAGCGTGGCAGATTTGCATCTACATATCCGCCAGGATACACATGCTATGAGCCTTCTGAATAGGCTCATGAGATGCGTATCCAAGGACTTTACCGACCGTCTCGCCAAGTAATACATCATGGAATAAGTGCCACTCAGTTGGAGAGGGTCTATCTGGGCAATATAAGCAATTGACTTTCAGGTAGTCCGGAAGAATTGGGACAGACCATTTCTACCGTTGTTTTAAGTTAACGTCCTCTTCTGCGGTGACTTAGTCCGTTTCACCCGAGGCTGAAGGTCCAGAGACAGTTCGTCCGCGGAAGTTTCCGATTCGTAGACTGGCAAGTCATGGGGCGCGGCATTTAAAACCGTTTCTCGGCTGGTGATAATTGTTTCGGCGGCGGATGCATCACTCTCAAAGCTCAAGCCTAATCCGTCCACCGATGTTGAAGTAGTTGGGCCACCACGTACCCTCTCGTTTGCTTCATTAATTTGCGTTATCTCTTTGACGTTTGGCCCAATCTCTACCATTCCGGAATGCGGTAGCCCCTTGGCGGAAAGCATCGCGGTTACCGGTCACGCTCCAAGAGTTTATTTGCGTCATCACGAAGCCCGGTTGTGCACCATTAATCAACGGTGGTATAGGATGAGTGGTATACATTTTAATTGTTCCGCCGTGGTATAGAGAGGTTAGCGTATATGCTTTGTTGTCATATTTTTGCTCTGGTTGCTTGTATGACTGCAAACAATGTAATCCCCTTGCTCCAAGAGCACCGTCGTAACTTGCTTGCCGGGTCGCAACTGCCAAGCTGCCATCCGGCCCCTTTGTTTGAAACAGATAGTTTGGCACAATAGGAAGGTCATGCTGCGTGGATGGTACAATGTAGTTGCTTAACTCTCGACGAACAGTCCTGTGAAGCTGCTCAGGGTGGGCGCCATAATACAGATCAGGGTTTCCAGGTACAAGTGTTCCATCAGTCAAATGCTCCAGGTTTATAAATGGTATCTCGCCAGCGATACATTTCTTGTCCCTAACATCTCCTTTGATAATAGGAATAACATTTATAGTAACCTCTCTCTCCTTAGCTGCCTGCGCGTCAGCCCGCTCGAACTTGCGAAAGTCTTCGCTCGAGAACTTAGACGGCGATAAGGATGCCCTAGGTTGGGCCAACACCTGGCGGATCTCGTCCATATTATCGGGCTCTTGCGGTAAGCGGCCATCTGGGTATCCATAACCATGGGGTAGAATGTTATGATCGATAAGGTGCTGCTGGAACGCGCGATCGTACGGGCCCGTGGTCTTTGTGCTGGTCGTTTTCGGCGTGGTGCTACTCTTCGTTGGCGACTGCGAGCTCCTCTTCGTCGATGACCGTGACCCTCTTTTGCGTCGGCCAAGACTTGACTGTCCAGAGCTTATGTTGTTATTGACAGCTGCAGGAACAGAAAACTACCGGACGTTAAAATTGAACTCTAAACGTTGGGTTCTTACATACTCCTCTTAAATGGCTTAGGTCCGGGCCACCGTACCTTGCAAAGACCTTAACGGACTTCAAAGAAGTTGGCGAATAGGTATCGACAACTTGACCGACGGCAATGATAGAGTGTGGACGTGGTCGAAGGCTTCTTCCCGTTCGGGTTTCACCTGGCGGGCGAGAGCCTTGGGTGCTCTGTCCGTCTAATGCTCGAAGTGCGTTCCGCGTCAGAGGTATCTTTGATAATCTTTCCCAGAATTGCGTTGGGGGAAACTCAGGATGACGAAGCTTTTGCTTCTTCGGCTGGTTCAAGACGGCGTCTGGCGTTTCGTGGGAACTTGGGAATCGTTGACGCTTGCGCGAGCTTGGACTGCTTGATTTTCTGCATAAAACTTGCGATGCTATCATCCTCATATGTGCTCGCCATAAGTAGTGGTGAAGGCATTGAACTCGTCGCTTTTTAAGTTGTTTTAACGAAGCTGAAGTCCGAGGCATGTGCGGGCCGCGGTCGTGATTTGGTCTCGAGGCGGGTGTATGATCACTTCAATGTTGCTGATTGGCTTACCACCCAGCTCTGGCGCGACGATGCCTCGCCCCTTATTTTGCTGGAGCGTTCTTGGCCAATCATGGCTAAGCGCCGAACTCACCTGAGGTCCCAACTGGTGTATCTACCCTGAAGCGTCTGGTGAAGTGATTCAAGTTCAGTCGCTGAATAACTGCGAGCTGGACTCTATTGGGCGAGTGCAGAATCTAACGCAAGAATCGTTGCTGGGCGTCCCAATAGCCAAGTGGCGACGCTCCTGCGGGAGCCCGTAAGCCCAGACACATTAGTCAGCCACATTCAATTCGGAGCTAGGACAAATAAAATACGCGTAAACTCTTCCAAATAAACCTCCTAATTTCTTCCTTGGTATTCTCCTTCCTGCTCCTAAACCACCATTTTTTCTGGCAACTGTCTATGAACGCGTAGGCTAGACCGCCTTGGACCGTTTTTTTTTTAGCGCAATCACGATGCGCCGGCTCTAGCTTGTCTGCACACTGCCTGAAAGCCTCATTGGATTTTGTGGCCTGTTCTTCAGCTTCGCGCTGGCAGTTATCTGCGTAGATGCTCAGGCCGTCTTCTCCAAGGACACCCACTATACATGCTCCCGCTTCTTGGGTGGTACTGGTGAGATTAATTTTACATAGACCTATTGACATCTCCCTGGCGTGTACACTGGTCATTCGGGTAAAAATCCCGCCCCTGTTGTTTGTTGCATACTCATTGGCAGCGTCATCGTGCTTCTTTACACACGGGCGCCACCCCTGGTCAAGATCGACGTTGGATTGAGCACGGCACTCCTGAACGGTGGAAGCCACTTTCCACTTTTGGGATTATCGCCGGAGTCATTTGCGGCTTGACGAGCATACCAGACAGGTTTGCGGCGTCGTTCCAGTTCAAGCTGGAGCTCGACTCAGGCGTGGTTGTATCATCTTGGCCTCGGACAGTCAGGCTCCGACTAGCAGGGCGCATCGCCACTCCAGAAAGGGGCTAATAAGTACAGTGTGCTTCATGTCAAATATCTTTTAAAATCGATGGGTGAAATTTAATGACTGAGTGTAGCGGCTAGCTAATTGTGTGAGAATATCAGATAATAAAGGCAACTTAGATAAACTAGGTCAGGCTTATGGTATTCCTTGATATGTTATTTTAGGCATTAATTTGCCCGTCTCTCCGTCTGGCCTTATGTGCTAATAGCCTATAATGCGTATACGCAATTCTGTTTATAACTTTATACCTAAAACAATCTTGAGTTATAATCTTGCTTCCGATTTTATGCTGATTGGGATTTTTAAAGACTAGGCATCAATCCACATTTATTTACTCTACAAAGAGTATTATTACTGTTCATACCTTGTATTATTATCTTATATATCGTGACCTTTAACGTGGGCAAGCAGGATATGTATATAGCTAACGCTAGCAAATTCAGGCAGCTTGGATAATGCGCATAACGTCATGTGGAGCAGCCAAGTGCGCCTTAAATTAAAGTTGCTTGTTGTGGTTCTTTGGGGCTATTTCTTTTATAGTAACCCATGACTTGCAGTGTATGCATAGTCTTGGTATTATCTTGATACACCTTACTCGGATTAGTAAAACGGAGGTCTGGGGAAGACGGCAGCCAGGGCAGTATTTCCAAGGAGGCAATGCTAATTGACTGTTTGGTAGTTACTGTACCAGTTGCTCTTTGACAATTTAGCCGCCGCGCTTTGTATTCTTAGATTGAATGTTAGTATTTTGACACCAACGGATCATTTTAATGTTGGTTCTGTGTCAAAAATGCGTCATCCCGTACATCTGCCCACACCGCAGGCGGTTGAGTCGAGTAGATTGGTAACGATTCGAGATACCAACCTCGAATCACGCCTCCTACCGACGCCCCTCGGCTACAGAAACTCTAGCTTGCAGTTCATACTAAACCAGAGCACGCCATAACCGAGTTCTGGGAGCACGTGCTCCGCCTAAAGGTCTTCCCCGGTAGACAGTCGTCCCTTCCCTCCCAGCAACCGCCCACGGGTGATGCCAACGATCTTCGTCGCGTCAACGTATTAGTGAGGAATATTGAGGATGATACTGTTCTGCTCCTTCTCGAGGCTAAAAGAGCCAATGCTACTCGCGACCAGATTGAAGCCGTTGAATACCAAGCCTTCACCGCCTGCTGCGCCCATCTCTTTCAAACGCAGGAACAGGCCATCTCGGGAATGACATGTGTTGATTCCAAGGCCAGAATATGGGCGTGCAAGCGCAATGACGACTACGAAACACCATTTTGGCCACCCGGAGATGAGCTCTCGGAAATTGGCCAAGACGCCGAATATTCCACTCGCAGTAAGGAGCTCGTGGAAGCCCTTGAGCATGTCAAGAAGAACCCTATTCCAGACAAGGTCATCTTTGAGAACACACCGTCGCTAAGACCACTTTCCGCTACGTCGTACGGGATTACGGTTAATAGGTTCGAGAACCGTGTATACCAGTGTCGCAGAGTGGTCGATGGAGCCCGCGTGAATATGCCGGAAGGGGGTTGGTGTCAGTGTACCATCTTCTCATTAGGGACTCTCTACCCATGTTACTGTTGGGTAAGTGAATCGGAGACGCAATACTTAGCCTGGTCGTTGGGTTGTGAGGAGGCTTGAGGGCAGTAACGAGAAAACGGCGTCATCGAAACTTCGAGGTTAGCACCCTAGGATAGTTTGTAGTCTCATCAGCGTTCATCAGCAATTACTGTCAATCTAGTTTCGTATAGGGAGAACCAGAATTCAAGTTCGCCTTGTAAACGAAAGCACGTCCAATCCCCGCTACTGTGACTATGCTCTTGTCTTTCCGTACAGGTAACCGTTGTTGCCTGTAGCAAACCAGAGATTCCGGGATGTGCATACGACTGGCGACGAAAGCAGATGCAAACTGGCTTTTGGTAGTCTTCGGATCGATCGATGCCTACACGACACTGCCCAAGTGACCGTTGCGCACCATTATTGAACTCCAATAGAATTCCCAGGCAAAATCCGTTGTCATTATCGTTAAACAACCTAATGCGGCTGGTGCCATTTAGGGGGCTTAATGAGAAGCAAGCATCCCGGAAAGGAGGGGTTTTCTCGATAAGCGGGCACCGAAAGGGATCGATTGGTAGTTTGTCATCCTTTTCTGTGGTATGGGCACCGATAACAGAAATAGGTCTCAACTGCGAAGTGTTGTATATAATTGTGGATGGGGGTGACTTGCTTAATACCAAGTACCTTGCTTCCTGCGAGTATGTGAAGCCAACAACCACATCACCGGCAAGTTTCATGCGCAACTGCGATAATCAGCTTCCCGTTGCTTCCGGATCTCCTCCTATAATGAACTCACAACTAAGCAGATACATCCTGCGGAACTTTTGTCCACCATTCTTGCACCTAGCAAAGCAATATAGTCCTCTCCTGAGATCGGGATATATACCCAGGTGACTGATGCTTGACGTCGTCGCGACAAGAGCTGATATGTTGACTGTGCAGAGGGTGTTCTCCGTGTGTGGGCATGAATAGCGTAGATTTCACCAAAGCAGAAGAAGAATGTAATGCCCGTTGTCTGGCTTAGTTGTATAGTTCTCAATTGTGTGGAGTGGGAGAGGCCCGCCGGATGGAAGGAGCACCGGTTTAAGGCGGGAGGCGACGGCGTATCCCAAACCTGGAGTCCATGATTTATATTGGGTAGTTCCAATCGCAAACACCCAAACTGAATATCAGTAAGTCTCTTGGTTTGGGTCAGCTATAAGAACGGATTATGTACCTTGAGGTGGGCAATGACGCCTTCAATATCTCTCTCTTGCAGTACAACAAACAGCAAGTTCTCGGTCCGCCAGCCTTGAAAGGCCGGGTACTCGGGGAGTCTCTCGACCTTCTTGATTCCCCAGGAATCAATTGTCAAACGAAGGACTGGTAGGTGATTGATGGCGTTTGAGGTTGTTAGCTGGCTACCCCGATCCCATGAAACAACAGCGCAAAGTGGAACCGAGCGTCGCTCTGATGACAATATGGGCAATCGTGGGGCAAGCTCGGAGGCCGAGTTATACCGCCAAAATAGACTGGTAGCTGAATACAAGTAGACGATGTGAAGCACTTCTCGTGGCAGCAATCTCAATCTTGAGATGCCGAGGTCCTCCAACTTGGAGAAGTCTAGTGCGACATTCGTTTCTTGAAGATGAAAATGGGGTGTACAGCGCCATGGAACCCGCCAGGCTGTGATGATCCAAAATTGTTCCAAGTACTTGTCCAGCAGGCACTTTTGTTGGACAAGATCGAGGCAGTCTGAGTGTACAGTCGAGGATTCGGCGGACATGGCACAGCGGCTGCAACCAGGTTTTCGGCACAGTTGTACCCCGAATGTATTCGGAAGGAGATGGCCGTAGTCGGGGAAGATGAATGAACCAATGCGACGGGAAAATGCTGTCGAGTCGACGTTGCCTCGGACTGGGAATTTTATGTGCCAACTTGGTTAGAGGTAGAGAGACGAAACAAAGGAGCAAGAAACTGGCGCTTACGCAAAGAAAATGGTTCGCCGATTTCCATGAGCCCGCCACAGATTCCGCAGTGTGGCCTAAGGCCGTAGTGATCAACAGCCGCGTCGAGAGGCGGCATCCTAAATGACGAAGTAATGGAAGTCGAAGATGCAAGCAAGCTTCAATGGTCCAACTACGTTCAACGCTGGTGGAGAGCTGTGGTGGAGATGTCTGGTACAGACATGGAACATTGAAGGAAAATGTCTCGTAGAGTGATATTCGCTAAAGCGGGCCCAATACCAGGGACGCAAATATTGGTAACTTGCATTTATTGCAATTATATATGTTAATCCACCATATGAGTTGTGACCCTAATAGCCAAAACAATCTTGTCCCTGCATATTCTGGCTGGAGCTCTTTCGACAAACCTACCATTTCCCATTCTAAACCTCTAGATGGCCCCGAACGTGGAATTATTGCCGTCGACCACCTTCCAACATGAATACCTCGAGTCCAGCAACGAATACTCTGCTTTGTTATTACCAAGCTTATTGTCCTTGGCACGCCGAGAACACGGGCGCATTTAGAGGAGAGCAGAGCAAATATACAAAGACAGGTCAAGGGACCTGCCACAATCCGAGCAGAATTAGCCCAGCTAGCCAACATGTCATTCAGCGACACGACGACATGAAGAATACTGAACTAGTAACTTTGATTGCTGAACCAGCTCATTGACTGCCAGCGTACCAAAAGCTGTTTTTGAGCATTTTGAAGGAACTCTAGAGCTTGCTAGCCTGCCGTTGGATTTGCAAGATGAGCGACAGGCATCACCTATTTCTGCTCCTGGCTCATCTCGGTGCTATCACAACATTAGTCATATTTCCAGCGACAAAAGCTTCGAGGTTCAATTTCTGCGCGAGAAGCACATTATCGATTGACCGTTTCGAGTACCATGCCGTATGCGGCGAAAGGAGCAGATTTGGAATCGTCGGGTCAAGCAGAGGCGAATTGGCCGTGGTCGCCGGTTCGATTTCGTAGACATCGGTCGCCGCACCGCCAATCTGGCCCTTCCGGAGCGAGTGGGCGAGAGCCAGCTCATCAATAATGCCCCCGCGACCGATGTTGATGACTAGCGACGTCGGATCCATGGCGGCAAGCTCAGAGGTGCCTATCATGCCCTGAGTGGTTTCATTCAGAGGTGCGGCGATGACGAATATGGTGCCGAGCTTGAGGCACTGAGGAAACGGCAAACGACCAGGACGGGTTTCTTGGGCGCCTTTGCGTTCGGCGATGACAACATTCATCCCCAATGCCTTTCCTAATGACTCTATTTTCTTGCCTTTTCTCGATTTCCATTAATTGACATGCTCTGCAGGTCTTGTTGGAGAGAGCTTACCCAACGTCCCATACCCCAAGACGACCATTGTCTCCTCGGCGTTGGTTCGAGGTGGCGGTGTACTGCGCTGAAATCTAATCTGTGTGTTGCCACATGTTGCCCACGCTTTACCTGCCATGGTTATCGCGTGCATCTCCAGCAGGTTTCTCCTCAGTCCATAGTACAGCGCCAAGGCGTGTTCAGCCACGGACTCGGTGGTTTGCGCGGGAAGATTGCAGAGTCCGATTCCGAGCTCGCGAAGCGCCGTCTTGTCTATTCTATCAGTCCCCGTGCCGTTGGCGGCCACAAGTTGAAGCCTTTGAGCGCCAAGTATGCCCTCACGAGTGACCCGGGTGTCGGTGACGATGACAATCGTGGCATCCTCGATGCGGGCAGGGAGTTGGTGAGGTTCGGTCGAGGAGTAGTATGTGATGACGTAGTCAAAGTCAAATTGCGCACAAGGTGCAAAGCAATCGTCTAGAACAACAATGTTGTGCTTTGTAACGGTGGATTGACGTCGCATACTTCCGACTTGAGGACGGTGCCCGCCATGCAGTGTGTTGTTAAGCCAGTCGTAACAGCCGCATCTCTTGAATAGATCAGGATGAGGGCACCAATTGCGCAAGGCGAATGGAAGATGGCACAGCGGCGAGAGTTGGCCTGCCGTCGATCACAGGACTTTGACCCGAGGCGCTGTCAGAGTTTAGTTTCGGGTCTCCATTCGTTGAGATGTCGACAATCAGCTGATATCTTGTCTACGGGCATGCTGGGCGCAAACACTTTAGCCCTATTAGTACGGAGTATATATTATCTAGGGTGCAGCGTGTTAAAGCTCCATAATTCCAGAGATGCATAGATGTATTGGCACTTGTGGGCGGCCGGAGAAGTCCTACATGTAGATATATTCACACCAGACGGCTTGGGAGAGCGTACGGAGGAGCCGAAATACATACCAGGGTATGCAAGGGCACCTACGGGCACCCCATTGTACGAGATGGCGGAGTAATAGGTCTGGTACGAGTTGACCAGATTTTTAGGCAGGTCATGGACTGGCGGTCCGTGGCGAGCACTTGGGCCAAACATGAATAGGTCATTCTGGCATGATGAATATAGACGCCACTTCAAAGTTTCCAAATCAGCGCCACCGTCGACGCTTGGCAACACTTGGCTGGGCGTCATTTCGGGGCAGTAAGTTATGCCATTGACAGAGGCCAGGGATCCCTGGCACGCTCGTACCCTTGACAAGTCAAGTATTAACTTGATAACTACAAGGTCTTGTCCCAACATATTCCCGGTGGGTCAGGGCACTTTCCACCCTGGCAAAGATATTATCAACATGTCAACAAGGAACTCGCCGAATTCTGGAGACCAGACCTCAATCGCGCCTGCGGTCAGACTGTATACCTTGCTATAGCCCTACTAGTGCGGGCAGGGGCGGAAATATCTACACCTCACTACCAGGAGTCGGGTAGGACCTTGTACAAGCGTCTTTCCATTCTCACGGCCACAGCGTATTACAGATCCTGTGCCGCGCATTTGCATCTATTTACTTTACCTACTCTGCGAAAAAAAAAAACTGGCGTGCTCCTATCACTTCCCAAACGAGGATACCTACTTGTACTAGTACCGGGCGTTATGGCCTGATGATTCCACATTTACATGGGTGCTCCCAAAACCGGTAAAGAGAATGTTTGCACAACATCCCACTAGAAACACCAAGTATCGTAATGTGCTCAGGCCCGTTGCGAGTGTCTTGGTCTCACGCTGGACAGTGGCAAACCTCGAGAACAAACATCAAGCCTATCTGTACAGCAACATGATCTCACAGGGCAACGCGGCACCAACCAGAAGCGATCCGGCTACCACGGTCGTATCGATGCCTAGTCATGGTGATGCTGACAACCATACAACATTGGAAATGCCAACAAAGCCCACCCTCAAGGGCGTGGACTCTGAAGCCTCGGTTCGGTTCTGGCAACAGCATTTTGACGGATTGGATGCCTCTGCGTTTCCGACTGTCACGTCTTCTACGAGGGTACTACGCCAAGATGGGCTATTGGAGCATAAGATCGCCTACATGACATCGCCGACTCAACAGAAATGGTCCAACGTGGCGATTTGCCGAGCAGCACTCGCCGTGCTCCTCGCCCGATATACACATGCGCCGGAAGCGCTATTTGGCATTGTTGTCACGCATCTTGACCCGGACTCCAAGAACCAGACGGCAAAACCAGCCCAAGCCGTGGTACCTACGCGTGTGCTTTGTGCTCCTCACCAGTCTTGCTCATGTCTTTTGCAACATGTCACGGCACATGACGCCACCGTGAGTCAACTTGACCGGGCTGGTCTTGATGACATTCGCAAGGCCGGGGAATACGCGTCTGCCGCTTGTGGGTTCCAAACAGTCCTGGAAGTCGTCACAAAGGCGTCCAGCAACGAGTTACATGGTCAGGAAATTGCAACATCAGATGCATTCCACCTCTGCACGGACCGTGCCCTCTTTCTTGAGTGCCAAATGGCCGATGACTCGGCCTTCATTCGCGCGCGATACGACCAGAGCTTAATCGACGCTCGTCAGATGACTCGTTTTCTAGGACAACTAGGTTGCTTGATCAAGACGTTTTTGGGCTCTGTGGCTGATATGCCACTTGGACAGCTGCAACCACTTACACAAGAGGACCAGACAGAAATTAATGATTGGAACTCGGCGGAGCTTGAATCAAGTGACGTCTGCATCCACGACGTGATAGCTGAGAGGAGTGCCAGCAGGCCCGGTTCAACGGCCGTGTTCGCCTGGGATGGCGAGTGGACGTATGAGGAGCTCGACAGCCTCTCCTCCCGCCTGGCAGCCTATATCCAATCTCTTGGTCTAGACCATGAACAGGCCATTCCAGTATGCTTCGAGAAATCCAAATGGGTCGTCGTGGGAATACTCGCTGTGCTCAAAGCTGGCCTGGCCTTCACTCTCATTGAGCCGTCTCACCCGCCCGCGAGGATTGCGCAAATCTGCCAACAGACATCAGCCACAATTGCGCTGGTGTCGAGAATGCAGTACAATACCCTCCGAAATCTCGTATCTCAATGCATCATAGTCGACGACGAGTTTTCTCAGTCTCTGTTAGCGTATCAAGATGGATTCATATCTGTCGCAAAGCCCCAAAACTTGGCCTACATCATCTTCACTTCTGGCAGTACAGGCGAGCCAAAAGGCTGCATGATTGAGCACAGGGGATTTGCATCCTGCGCCCTGAAGTATGCTCCGGAGCTCCATATCAGCCGCAAATCGCGGTCTCTTCAGTTTGCTTCATATGCGTTTGGTGCATGCATCATAGAAATCGTAGCTACACTCATGCAAGGAGGCTGTGTCTGCATTCCCTCGGAGCAAGATCGTATGAACAACATTGCAGACTTTATAAATAACGCCGGTGTAACCTGGGCGCTGCTGACTCCTTCGTTCATCGGGGCTATTCGACCAGAAAGCATCCCGCGACTGCAAACACTGGTGTTGGGCGGAGAAGCGCTTTCGGCAGAAATAAGAGATACTTGGGCCTCGCAGGTCCAGTTGCTCTGCGGCTACGGCCAGAGTGAGACCTCGTCGATTTGCAGTGTTGCTCGAATCGACCCGGGGATGGCTGATCCGAGCAACATTGGCAGAGCTACAGGTGCCCGTCTTTGGATCACCGACCCTGATAATCCTCACCAACTGGCACCGATAGGATGCATTGGTGAGTTGGTCGTGGAAAGTCCGGGAGTTGCGCGTGGCTACATCGTTCCTCCGCCGCAAACCAAATCACCTTTTATTGCCGGGACGCCTAGTTGGCACCCTACGAGTCGGTATCTGGACCGATTCAGCTTCTATAGAACCGGCGATCTTGTACGTTACAAGTCTGATGGTACTATTGTATACCTTGGGCGTCGAGATTTGCAAGTCAAAATCCGTGGTCAGAGGGTAGACATCGGCGACGTCGAGACTCATCTGCGACAACAATTGCCCAGTGACGTGGTGGCCGTTGCCGAAGCAGTCCAACGGCCCAGCACGTCTCACAACACCATTTTGGTTGCGTTTCTAGTAGGGCTAAAGCAGAATGGACAAGACAATACCATTTCGGCAACGCGGGCGTCCATCCTAGAGCCAAGTGTGGCCCGCGACATTACAGCAAAGCTCCAGCAGCTTATTCCTCAGTATGGCATTCCATCATATTATATTCTCCTGGAACGTCTACCCACTACCGCAACTGGGAAGACGGATCGAAGAAAGCTTCGCTCCATCGGCGCCGAGCTGCTGGATGAAATGACCCAGAACATGACGTCAAAGGAGGAAACCCCCACAGACTCTCCCATCAGCAGAGAAGAGACGCTGCGGCAGCTGTGGTTTCGGAACCTCAATATTGACCCAAAGTCTCATATCCAGGCCGCCAACTTCTTCGACTTGGGGGGAGATTCCATCGCAGCCATCAAAATGGCCAACATGGCGCGGTCAGCCGGCATAGAACTGAGTGTAGCCGACATTATTCGGTACCCGGACCTTTCAAACCTTGTCAATAAAGTGAGTGTGTAGCTCTGTCTTGATCTAGACGGTATCGGACGAATAGCTAACCGTTCGCTGACGCTGGGGACTGGCGATTGTTCACCCTCGCCGCTCTGCGCAGCACACGATAAGGAGAAGCCTCCTCCGCCAAAACATGAAGTGAGTAGCGAGAACAGTGCAACTCGTGCGTCTAGACCTAACCATCTAACTCGCTATAGCCGCGTCGCAAGTTTTACAAACGTCTGTGGGGTCGCAGGTCGAAGGGGACGCCGAATCAGTCGGACGAGTAGCACATTATTTGGAAGGCTGGGTGCTACATAAATTAATGGAGATCGTAAACTATATCCCGACCCTATTGAGCTTAACTCACAGTGTTGCCCGTTGTGTTGTGACAGCCTGCCATGGTAGTTGCCAGAGTTGAGGGACCCGACTACGATTTTGCCCATGGAGTTCATCGGAATGTCTGGATTAGCAGTTGCAGTGCGGGACAAGGCTGTCCCTTTTGTTGATTGAACAAGATGACTAGGTTGAACCTATTAGATGAATGCTGCGACTTGATGAGCCTAAGAAATTGGACGGCCTAATAAATGACTCGTTCGTCTTCTCAGCGTTGCCGATATGAGTGGTCAGTTATTATTATTTACGTAGATATTATACAACAGTCCCCAAACTCTACAAACTATGCAGCTTCGGGTCCAGCCTAATAAGATCTTGCACCAGTTCCATTCCCTTGGTGGAGGCGGTAAAGTCACACCAATATCCGCCGTCGGCCTTGCACATGATCTGAGAGCCGTATCTCATGAGGAAATTATTTCGCAGACGGCGAGCTTGCCCAAACACCAGAGGCGTAACCACATCAGGAATGGTGCCAGTAGCATCGGCTCCCTTTCGAACTACCGCCGGCGCAAAATTCGCTTGATGCCATGCCCCAGACCAGTTGCTTGTGAAGAAGGCCATCTCGAGCGGTTCGCAAAAGTAGGGAAAGGCTCCTCGACGACAGGCTTCCCTCGTCACAGCCAAGTCTCGTTCAATGTTTTCCACCTTGAATGCCTCCCAGACGGCTTGGTTGTGAGCATGGGCAATCTCCAAGAGGGGAGTTTTGTTGGAAATAGGCAAGCGGCCGATGGCAAAGGTGACACAATTGTGAAGGTATGGCTTGTTTGCAGGGAGCGCTGGATGGAGTCCGCGGCCGTTGACGGCAGACGTCAGAGTCACCATTTTGGCCGATTTGCGACCTATATATGCGAATTTGGCAAGGATGCCAATCAGAATGTCTCCGTCACTTAGCGCTGGCGTGTTCTTTCCGTATCTGGCTTTTAGATCATCGTTGTGTCGATTTCGCAAGTCGGTAACCAGCGTGGAGGGCAGGAACAGTATCCGTCTGACTTCTTTAGGATGCTTTACGAGATCGGGTAGGAAGCCCAGCAATGAGGCCGCAGTCTCTGCTTTTGAGGTCACGCGGAATTTCTTCTTTCTTCGTAGTTCTTCCTGTGGAATGTCGTCGGGGCCGTTCAAGGTGCCAGGTTCGAGGTTTAGGAACGGGGCAGGTGTCTGGCCGTCCATGACTTGAAGCCAGGCAGTAACGAGGCTTCCAAAACCCATCCCATCCGATACAATATGTGGCAAGCTTAGAGCAACAACCGTGGCGTCTGCGTAGCTTGTAATGTGGGCGAGGAGGAGTGGTGTATCCGCCTTCTCGAATTGGCGTTCGACAGGCCAATCCGATGGCGTCCATTTGTTTTCCATGTCTTGGACAGACAATGATCCGAAGATGGGGGATCCATCACGAGGCAAGCTGGTGGGCAGCAGCTGAGTTGACTCTAGGGTTGCGTCTATGCTGTTCTCTGACCATTCAAATAATTTGTAACCGTGGGAAAATGTACTGGGCATACGGTACACCAAGAGCCCAGTTTCGTCCTTTTCAATCCGGGCACCGAGAATAGGTAAATGGTGTCTAATAAGTTCCCCAAGTGCGTCCCGCATCAATTCTTTGCGCAGTGTCTCACGGACAACGAAGAACATCCGGTTGCGGATATTGTCAACGGGAGGAAATCGGTCTTTTTCCTCAATAGGTATATTCTCGAAGGCGCTGTCAGACTTCGCAGTCTCTATGTCTGTCTTTTTTGTCGCCATTGTCATGTGTCGCTGCTGCTTTTGCATGCAGTTGCGCAAGAGTGTTTTGCTGCTGAGGGCTCAGGAGGAGGTCATCAACCAGGATGGTGCCTGGGATACAAGTTGATGACAACACTCTCTTCCGAAGGAAGGCGGTTAAAAATGGAAATTTTATGGGGACAATGCCTTGGACAGTCTGCTACCGTTGCGTTATATGCCAATTCAACAGAGTTCAATACGCCTTTTTGTCTCCATCTCCTCTTATATCCTACATTATGCTATAGCAATAGCTGCTCAGGCAACATACGATACCTGCCATTCATTCACTACTTCAAGTCCACGCCTTGATGCCTAATCGGTCCAGCAATGAGATTACGCGAAGACCCTGAATCGTACATGACCAGGTTTGTCAAGACTTGGTATCGAATTTAGGTTATGCAGTGGGGGCGAACAGGGGACAAATACGGCAGCAAGACAAGTTGCGCCCAGGCTTACCCACGACAGGTCCAAGGATGCCGGACTTCTTCAAGGCAGAGTTTCTTGTGCTGATATGGCCCAAGAAGTGTGGGCGGAGTAGCGACATGAAGTTAATTAGCTGTATAGGCAGGTATGGTGTCTGGTACATGTATCTTGAACCCCTGCAGCGTCCTAGGTACTTGACTAGTGCGAGTGCATTTGAAATATACGGGTAAATATTCCCTCCCCTGCTCGTCCCAGCAGGGCTATAGCAGGGTATATACGGGGAGGGGTGGCCTTTATGTGCATGTGTTGGTTTATGGCGACTAGGGCTCGACTTGGCACCAAAAGGCCTGGAGCTGTTGGACTACGCGATACAAGATCAATAAAAGCACAGCCGAGTGCCTAGGCTTCTTGGCAGCGCCCGTTTTGAGCACCTACTACTCGTCAAGTACAGTTACTATACGCAAGTTTACCGCTTCTATAAGTATACATGTCGACACTCTAGTGTATTTGACTATGCGTAGTTGATTTGAATACTGCTTGTCTATTCTTGTCCTCCTTCACGCTTATTCAACGTCACTTACGACTATCATGACCCAACCAGTTCAGCAAGTTCATGACTTGCTCGCGCAAGTGAAAGAGCTTAGCTCTCAACTAAGCTCGGCAGAGCGTGGCCAAGTCCAACATTCTCTGCTCAGCGTTTTGTCACAGTCGGAAACACCTTACGAGTATATGCTGAGATTGTCTAGATCTGTGAGACCATTGTTATGCCATCCTTTAAAGATCACGTACTGAACATTTTCTAAGCATTTGCAACTTGCTTGCATTCGCGTGGGTGTGGATACAGGACTCTTCAGAGCCTTGGTGAATAGCAGCCGTCCTATTTCATGTGCCGACCTCGGCGAGAAAACTGGTATTGCCCCAGATCTTCTCGGTAAGCATTATGTACCTCCCTTGCTTGGTGTGCTACAGTATAGGTTGGCCTTTGGAACAGTGGCATAGAGCCAAAAATATAGTGTTAACAAGAGGTTAATCCCAGGGCGACTACTACGATTTCTTGCTTCTGTGGGAGTGGTTCAGCAAACAGCAGTAGACGAATTCTCTGCAGAAACGATTACTTTGGACTTGGCCAAACCTGCGCTAGAGTCTGGCGTACATCTGCTGTAGGTTCAAGTCCTGAAAATAAGACTATAAATATGATACCTGTTGACCTGACACGAGTATCCTAGATTTGACATACATAACAAGACGTTTCAGGCCATGCCTGACTTCCTTGAAAAGCATTCCTACAGTGAGGTAAACGATGTTACAAAGGGCATATTTCAGGACGCCTTCACAACGAGCCTCTCCTGCTATGAGTATCTGGCTCAGAATTCGAAACTCCAAGGATATATGCAAGAAGCAATGAGCCTCCAAAAGCCAGAGGGCGATTGGGCGTCAGCTTTGCATATAGACGAAGCAGTTCAGAGCTGGAGCATCTCAGAACCCACTCGTATTTTGTTTGTCGACATTGGCGGTGGCCTTGGCCACCAATGCATCCGAATGCGAGAGACATATCCAGATATCGCTGGCCGGGTAATCCTGCAAGACATGCCCATCACCATCGGACGACTACCCAAGCCGATGCCTCATGGAATTGAAGCTATGGAGCATAATTTTGACAACCTTCAGCCCATCAAAAGTGAGTAGATTGCAAAACTCAACTCTGCTGTTACCATGGCTGTAGCGTTTTCTGACTTTAAGCACAGATGCCAAGTTCTACTATGTGCGAAACGTTCTCCATGGCTTACCAGACAGCAACTGCATCTCCATGTTGAAGAAGATTGCACCATCTATGAATGCGGAATCCGTGCTCGTTATTGACGATATTGTTATCCCAGATATTGGAGCTCGCAGTCAGGCATGTCAACTGGATTTCATAATGATGGCTTCAATCGCGGGCATGAAGCGAACGCGACAGCAATGGCATACTCTTCTCAAGGCTGCGGGGTTTAACGTCATGGAGATTCGAACTTATAGCGAGCCATTGCAGGACTCCTTAATCCTTGCGTCACTGGCTTGTTAAAAGTAAAAAAAATACCACGGTATCCTCTGTATGTTAGAGCGGCGGGTTGCAAGGGTTGGTGTTATCTGAAGGTGGTGAGCCCTTGGGCCAAGCAAAAATTATACATATTAGTCTACCTACTTTGCCCCTTGAATAACCATGCAACACTTCATCCAGAACCGTAGATACTCGGTCTCGTAGGGGTTCGGCCCTAGAACCTAGGAGAAATGTGAGTCTCGGATCATTGATCGAACCACTTCAAAAAGAGATTTCGGCCAAACACAATCTTTCCGACCTCGACCACTGTTGTTCTGAACTAGGGATGGCTTTGGAAGGTCTTGGGATAATTTCACTGTAACAGAGCGCAGAAAGCGTGACAGGAACTGGCAGCAGTAGGCTTTCGGCGAAGCTATCCAATCCGATGGGCATGCTGGCAGAATCATCTGGCCTGGGGGACGGGGACCGTATTAGAGCGTGGCAGGAACGAAGCAAGTAATTAGAATATATATGACGTATCCGTTTTCGCTGTGCGTTCATGGTACAAGGTGTGTCGAATAGTCGAGTCCGGGACATAACACGTGTACTTGACGATCGGATTCCAAAAATACTTTATTTCAGCAGACATTGAAGAAATTCAGTCTTATATGTAGAGAATGGCAGAAGGAAACCTTGGGCTACGAGTCAGGTCTCGCTCGTTCACTTATTATCTAAGCAGAAAGGCCTTGCACCTTTCATGCGAAATGCTTGGTGCTCTCGGGCTCGGACTCAGACAATCGCGGACGCGATGAGGTATTGTATAAATAAAGGGCCTCACTCGGGATAGTGATGCAGTAAGCTCTTTTTCAGAGAATTCTACGTAGCCTTAAGAATCGTCAAACTCTTGATCCAGGTTTTGAAAGAGCCAAGTTAACAGCGGCTTTGACGGCAACTGTTGTGCCATCTTTCCTTGGACGTTGGCCTGAATAACAACTCTAACTGGAAATACTTCCGGATATGAAGTGACTTGAAGCTTTTGTCTTCCCCGCGCTGATCAAAAAACGGGTTAGCATACACTTAAAAAGGATCCATCCGGAACTACTTACTGGCTTATTTAAATACCGCCTTACTGTTCGGAGAACTTAATCGGGTCTCCTACCCCATAGTCTACTTTATCATAAACGTAGCAATAAAACTGTGGAGGCTGAACAGAAACGGGCAACAAGCAACAATATGGTGACGAATGTTTATTTAGCCTTTCCTTGACTCCCACTATGTCTCTTGTGGATGACGCCGTTGCTAACTGTCGTGGATGAAATCTTGAATGGCAACCTGTGGTAATGCAGCCGTGTCTGGGCCCTTGGAGAGCTCATGCTGTCGGCCGAGTTGTTCTCTGGTAATGCCAACTCTCGAATTGCCACCATGGGCTCTACAAGAGGAAATAATTACTCAACCTGGCCGTTGCTCAGGTATGCCCTCGCAAGCCAATGCCGGGGCACTGCTATTGAGTATTGCCATTGCAGCCGAAAAACACATCAATTGATCATCTTCATGCGACTTGTCCTGCGCCGCCTACTACTCTGCCAGATGTCTTTTACCGACTTCTCCGCAACCGTAGTACTTAGTAGCACTTTCGAAACATTCAATTTCAGAAGGATTGGCATCCTCAGCAGCCTATTGTCGTTGATGGAATAAACATGTACGCCGGACCGATTAGTCTAGAATTTTGGCTGAAGAAAACTGTGAGACGGTTTGCGCATGTTTTGTGTAGGAATTGAAATGCCGTGACTTCCAACCGAGAACGTTTCCACTTGACTGTGTTTTGACCGCAGAAATATCGAATATTGGACTGGACCAAACATGGCTTCGACTTGTTCAGCTTGTGCGTTTACACCGGACATGTAAGAGTAGAAACACGACGATAGCGGAATGGTCAAAAAATAATAAACGCAGCTCTCACCGCCTTGCGTAGAAGAACGGTCTAGATCAGACCAAAACATAAACATGCTGTATATTATAAAGCCACAAAAGCGCTGGCAGGACGCTCTCGCCCCGCAAATAACGCGGTCATAAGCGACAATTTCATTTGTTTCGCAGCCGTTATTCGTGGAAAAAACAGCGTGGGAGAGCGCCGACGCAATGAGACATTTGCGTCTTGAGCTGAATGTGCTCGGCAGATGGCTCCGGCTGGCGTTGCTAGCAAAAACTATGGGATGCCAGTGGCTTTCTTGTGTGGTGGCTCGACTCAGGTGGCTTGCGTGGTCAAGCCCAAGTGCCACTTTTTAGTTCCCCGGTCGCATGTATTCTCCCTTAAGAGGGCGTAATCAGGCCATTTTTCAATGCCACATGTAGTGACATGTGTCAAGTCTGGTCAACCAGGAACCCCAACATGGAACGTCTGGTAGATGCCGCTCACAGCCGGGAGGAGGCCGATTTTCGGCCATGCAACTCGCGTGTAAACGAATTGCAGCGACAATATCGCCCGCTGTACGGAGTAGTGTTGAGCAGAATTTGGTGCTTGTCGGTGCCTGTTACTGCACAATTATCGAGGTAAATAAACAGCGTTGTCAACCGCAAATGTGGCTTATTCGTGAGGCGTGAGTCGTGACCCTGTCCTCTGGCGACTCGCACAAGTTGTCGGCCCCGCCCCAACCCTAACCCCAACCCGACGATGGCGCCCGCCCTTGAGAACGGCATGCCGACCAGTGACGAGACTATTGGCCGTCAAAGCGCAAATCTCTTTGACTGCGACTTGGCTCGTGGGGCCCCCTCACCCCCTATAGGCTACGAGTAACCGTCTGAGTACGTAATATTGGCCAGGCAGACGGATAATTGGTTCATGGAGTGATTTGTACCTAACCAGATAACAGTACTTCTCTTATCTGCTAATTTTCTAGTAAATAAATGTACTGTTTATCCGTTAACGTCCGATTGGCCTGAACCCCTGTCAAAGTGTCTCCGCGAGCCAAAGAGACAGTAAATGTCCATGTTTCAAATACGACGGGGGTGGCGTTCTGTTAACGAATCTTAATTTTGTGCGACGGTGCCTGCGCTCTTCTCTCTGCTACATGCACTCAAGATCTGGAGTATCGACAGAATTGACACTTGCTCAACCTCACACTCCACCTCAATTCGGCACCGTCCAAGTTTCAATGTTGTTGTTTTTCTCTTTCCGTGTATAAAATTTACTACCTCATCCTGCATCATAGCCCTTTTCACAAGACGTCATACGCCTCCCAATCCGTCCATCTGCCCCATCGCTAACCTGGAATTTGGAAATAAAAATGTATTGGCCGACCTGGTTGACCTGGTACAAGAAGCCAGAGTACCGTAACATTAAAGAGTATTCCGACGCCATCAGGTCTGGAAAACGGGATTACAGCCCAGATAGAAGCGGCTGCGTGATACCGAACCAGCTCAGACTCGACAGAGTGCTTGGCAACAAGACATGTATGTATAAGACCAACTCATCGATAAAAAAATACACCTCTGATACGAAACCCATCCTTCAGGTAGCCCCATGTCCCTGTTTGACTTTTACATGTACCTGAAGCACATAGAGTTCTCCGAAGAGAACCTCGAGTTTTACATGTGGTATGTCCTACCCCATCCACTTGACAAGGAAACCCTCCATCTTATCAGATTACACACGCAGGTATAAGAATTATCAGCGTTGCTACAAAGGTCCCAGTGCGCAGGGAATGAGGGACTGCCTTGGAATCTCTGACAATGCATCATCAAATGCCAGCACGCTTCACATGCCCACCCCTACCGAGCCAAAACATGTCGACGTCAGCGCTGGTGCAGTCGAACGTGTTCTTTCCCAGATTAGACAACTCCTTGGTGCCAGCGCAACCTGCACAAGCGGCACCAAGTGCAAGCTCACCTGCGTCGATGACGGCGAGTCTTGTGAGGCCGGCGACGACAAGCCGCCCGAGCACAGCAACTCCGACGACGCATACCGGGACCAAGTCCTCGCCATCGCCCGCACATTTCTCCTTCCCGGGTCGCCCAAGGAGCTCAATATCCCCTGCCATATGCGCTCCCAAGTCCTCGCCGACATCCAAACGTCCTCTCACCCGTCCCACCTTGAATCCGTTGCCGACCACGTTTACCAGCTGCTTCAGCACTGCTCGCACCGAAACTTTGTCCGCCTCGGCATAGCCAACGGCACCTTCGAGACCGTCTGCGTTGCCACCGGCCTGGGTATAGTCTTGATCGTGGCGGGCTTGTTGACGGTCCTTCTGCTTGCCTTCACCCCCTTCCGCCGCGCCCACTCGCCGTGGACCGTCTTTGCCGCCTGGCCCATGCTATGGCTTGGCATGAGCCTCGTCTTGTCCGGCTTGCGCGGCAGCTGTTTCTTTCTCCTGCTCTTCTCGCGCCGCCAGCCGCTGCCGTGGGAGCGCTTCGCCGACGAGGAATCGGGCCGGCTGCGGCGGACAGCGCCCCTTGGGTTCCTGTCCCGCCTCATGATTTTCGATAACAAGGTCCGTGTCAAGGATCTTCACTTGCGTCGCCTGCAGCACAAAATCGTCATCCAAAGCCTGGTGGGCGGCGCGACTTTTGCGAGCTTGGGCGTGCTATTATTCATCTTCTTGCCTGTCTGGAGGAGACCCTGAGGGAACAATGCCTCGCCCTTGAACTTGACAGGTGTTGGCTGTCATGGGCAGAATTATCGAGGTCTAGGAGTCCTTACGCCAAGTAGCTATGTAGCTCAAGGCTGTGTACATATTAACTTGTGAGATTTCTAATATAAGAACAGTTTAATATATACAAAAAGAACACAGGTTTCTAAAATCTAGATATAATTGGTAGACTTTGTAAAAACTAAGTTAACCAAGTTTATGAAAAAAATAAAAAAAAAGAGTCATGTCCGCAACCCAGTACAATGACAGTCTGGTGAGCTCTCAGACCCGCTGTCTTGGTCGCAGCCACAGCTACGGATAGCGTCTCTACCGTAGCTGCCTGCTCGAGGTCCCTGACGTCAGGAACCTTGTAGCAGAAGTCTGCGTCGTTTATGTATTATTTAGCCAAGATTCCGTCATATGGAGGTCTAGTTGTAAAGACAATGGATCCGCAGAGGTGGAAAGAGCCACCACGACAGTGATGGAAAGATTGCGTCATCTATAACAGAGTACTTGTGGAAACACATATTTAATCAGATGGGTGGGATTGGCCTTTTTGTGTATGTCAACCCATCAAGTAAACTACCTCAACTAGCGTATTGCTGGAAAGGTACTACATGCCCAGTGGTTTACAGAGAGGTGTTAACCGTACGCTCCCTTTGGCAGTCTTGCTTAACGGCACGTAAGTTTCTTGACTTGACGGGTTACCAGAACGACTGCCACTGGTCTTAACCTTTTAACAACGACTAATTCTTGAGGGTACTAGAATAAACTTCAAGTTTCCCATCGGCTCCTTCATCCCAGCTACGGTTTCTCGCTTGCGACGTCGCCATGATGTGTGTCAGCATTCTACTCAGCTTCAAGCACGGGCCTGCCTCGCGTTCGAAGTCCATTGCTAGTATAGTATTCTTCTTACTGGTGCTTTTATTCCTCATCTCCTCTCTACGGTGTCTCGCGATGAATATCAATATCCCTCGAGACTAAGCGTTGGCTTAGTTCAGGGTGGTCTGAGGAATCACGGTTGCCTGCGTCCCATGAGCATATGTTCCCGGGATTCTAGCCCTTCGCGTCCAAATTAAACGTAATAAATTAGCTATATCGTCAAATTGAACGTTGATGAGACATATAGAGCAGCGTTTGGCCGCTTGGTGACAGCTTGTAACACTGACGCCTTCTCAACGCAGAACTTCATTGTTATGATAACACCCACTCTAATGAAATGACTCCAATAGAAGTCCTACCTCTTATTTATGTGCTTGAATCTCGCATTCGTCCAATGGGTATAGTTCTGTTATCCTGAGACTGCGGATTTGTCTCTTGAAGAGGTCGACTTGCTGCATGCGGAACCTGGTGTCCCTGCAATGGCAGTCCTGAAGAGGTATCAAAAGGAAAAACAAAAGAAATCGGAGAAAAGAACAAAACTTCGTAGAGAAACAGGGGACGAGTTGAAACGTGTGGTTAAACATGCTGAAATTAAGCAGTAGTTTAGTTTCTACTGTAACAGTCTAGCGAGTATATTGACCACCAACTAAACGATTCTAATGAATAGAACGAAAGGGAAGCCGTACAATTGCCAAGTAGAACCAAAGCCATTTAGCATGTGACCTATTGAGCTGGTCTCTCTTGACTTAGCCGTAAAGGGGTCGTTACAGCGGACTGAGCTTCGGCAAGAGATGCTCGGAATATGGCCAGGAGACTTATCCCTGCCAAGGTAAGGATTTGGTAAATCATTTCTTGCTAGGGCAAAGCTGCCAACATCATTTATTCACATGGGCGTTTCAGTAAATTCTACGCGGCCTTAGGGCGGCCTTAGGGCGGTCAACGTCGACTAACCCTCGAAACGGTGCTTGTCGTCGCTAGAAAGCCTTGCACGAAGCATATCTATCTGTCGAGTTCTCGTTCTTATACCACATGGAGGAAGAAGAGATATGGCCCAAACTCTGGCCAGGAATCTAAATGGCTATGACCAGACAAATTACGTCACCTAAGCACGGTGAGACGCGCCGCTTTCCGCAGCTCTCCTAGACAGGATCACTTCGCGGTAATGATCCCCGGTCTCGTGTAGTTGACGCTAATGACTGACTCTTAAGGATAGCAGTAGCCTTCATCCGAGTACACGATTTTCATTCGAGAGGATATATTGGCCAACGGTGAAATCCATCGATTAGGCGTCTTCAGCAGAGTTTCGTTTGTGCCGTGCCGACGCTCATTCATGGGACTTGTATTGGGCAGAAGACGAGCACGAGGGCTTTCCCGAGGTCAGGCTTTTGAATATAGGTGTTGTTTCTGTAATTAGAAGGGTTGGACGGTTGTGGTTTCTTACAGGCATGTTATCATGGACTCAAGAATATTAGACAACCCTAGCGAGAGGAATAACCTTCAACACAGCCACTCCGACGCCATTGCGACCATCGTTTTAATCTCTTTTATGACTTCCTCATGTTCACTGATGGGGCGACTCTGTACTAGATTAGACTGGCTTTAATGACGGATAGATTTTCCATTTCACAGCTTAATCCTCTATTTGAGATTCAGACATCTTGTAGCAGCTACAACACGCCAGATTTGATGTCTGCCAAATAGCTTGGTCTGGCTTCAACAAAGAAATACACACCCAATCACTAACTGCAACCTGGTAAGCTACTACTACCGAAGAGTGCCTTTCGTCCATCTCTAGCAAATCGGGTTTGCAAAAGGTAACATTGTCTAGTGCATGCCGCCTAATCGTACCTACCTCTACAACTACCCGTCGGACGCGATTTCTGTTGTAAAAAAGATTAGAAATGTTCAGCCGGATCACTCAAAGAAGTCAGGCCATGAGGGAAATAGCCGGGGTGTACAAGGTCGGACACAAGGAGCCGAGAGGTGTAGAATAAGCGACGCTTCGGGCCATCCCCCGATGATGGTCGATCGACGTATCACGCTAGAGCTATTAACGATCCCATTATTAGGCTTACTCCCCAATAAGCACTTCTTGTATGTCTGCGCGATATGGGGTTGTTGGATGTCGGACCGGACATCTCTCTCTTGGCGCTTGCTGCCCGAAATTGCTCATTTTTCTCTCGCAAGTTCCGAGAAAATTTCTAAACGACATGATCTCCACGCAAGTAAGACGATGAACGGGGTGTGGGTATAAAGCTTGACGTACGGTCTGACATGCATAATCCGGAATGCAACACAGGGCACATATCGGCATTCACACTATGGATCTACAGTGCATTTGGACTCAACTAGAGTGATGTGACAACTTGTCATCGGGAGGGGTTATTGAAACTCAGTAAGCGACCTGCATTATTGGCCGATGCAGTAGCATACGGCAATGTCACCCCAAGACATGACATCTCCGAATCTTCTTCCCAAGCAGACTCCGCAACACACTAGATAGAATTAGGAAGCTACGGACGCCTTTGGATGGATGGAGTCATTCTGATCGCTTGTCTGCAACCCACGGTCTGTGGTTTGACATGAGAGGCAAACCGCAGATTCTTTGTCTATGTAGCCCCTATGACCGCTTTGGCTAATAAGCATGTTGTGTTCCAGTAGTATGGCCAAACATCTGATATTCCACTGACAAGCTGTTCGCCACTCTGCCACTATGCTGAGTACTGTTCACGTCGGTTGGCTTGAGTTTGTTTGGTTCATGGTCTCATACCCTTCGCTTGCTGGGCCTTGTTTTTAATGGTTCAATCTGCATACAGGCTGGGGTCATGCCACACCCACTTGCCGAGTTTCCGGGCTCAAGCTTGTGGGGGCATCGTACTGCTTCAAAAGGTCGTTGCGGGATTCTATACATAGAGATCATAAACCTTCATAAGCAATATGCTATGTGGCCCCTGCAGAAGTCATTGAACCATGTCGTCATAAACGAATACGATGTCAAGTATCGACCGGTCGTCAGCACACATCCAGACGAGCGGCATCCCAACGACATCGGCGTTGTCTATAATACTTGAGCTCGAGAGCGGGACAAGTCAAGCCACTACTTGGCGGTAGCATAAGGCTCTCACTGACTTCCTGCATAAATAAATTTCTTTGGGTCATCCAAGACTTGAGAAATGCCAAAGACCTTTAATACCAAAGACTGTTATTAGATGAATTGAGTCATTACTCCAAGCTCTGCCTTAGCCCCCGTCACAAAGAAAGACTTGAAGCAAGGTAATAAAGCTCTCCAATTACATGTCATTAGCCTATGATTTGCATTTGTGTGTGTCCAAGAAAATGTTAAGCGGCATCTAATAAAGCACTTGCATATGGTTGATACGCTGTTGAATTTGCTGATTCGGCACGAAAGCTACAATGTGGAAACAATCTTATATAACTAGCTGTGCAACGTCAAGTTTGACAGGCGTTCACTAGCCAAAAGGAATCGAAAAGAGGACCAGAAAGATTTATCATTTGAAGACATGGTAATGACGTTGGTTGGAGAGCCGGCTGTGGCCAGTCTGCTCGACCATATTCATACTGTCTGATGAACTGTCTGATGAACTGTCTAATGATGCAGGGATTGGTGGCTTATCATTGTGCTAGAGCCATTAGACTCTACGCAATGCGAACTCTCTGATAACAGTTACCTATCTTCCAACGACATTTCAAGGTCTGCTGTGCGCTCCCAGCATCTAGTCTCAATATACCCAGCCAACTTGCACCCTGTTCATACAGTCATCGCTATTTCGTAGACTCTGCCTGCCCTTGGCATTGTCGGAAAGCGGTTCGAAACTGGTTATAATAGCCAAGCTTTGATGTCGGCCACATAACTTCTCAAAGATCCATACCAAAATGTACATTCGCACCAGTTGGACAGCCATATTTTTCTTCTACTTGCCAATAGAGGTTCTACCTACACGCTCTCGACAATTTTGTAGGTCACAAACTAGCACGCAGCCTCGACTCTATGCCAGGAATACTATCAATTCTGGAGAAATTGCAAGCTGCTGCATAAAACCAACATGCTACAAGACGGGCTGATTGATTATTCCAAGTCCCTTGCAGCATTC